TATTATCTGTCTCACAGCAGCCTCATGTACACTGCTTCAACATGTGTTTTTAATGAAGAGCTGATTGCTAGGACTGCCCTCAATCACTGTAAACAAAATCAAACTCTTGCAACAGCTGAAACAAACAAACAAACAAGGCTTTGTTTTCCTGCCGTGCAACACGCAGGTGATGTTTGCAAAGTGCACAGGTTCGTGTCCATGTCTGAAGCAAAAGGGCAGTATTTGCATCGTGCACCTGTCGGTCCAAAGGGGTTGAAGTGCTCAATGAGCTGTGCAGCAAGAGACTGTGGAGACAGCAAAGGATGCAACATGTGACATCAAAGGCTCTGAGTCCTTATATTGATACAAATAATAGAAAATTGCACTTTAATAGGAGATAGATGGAACTAATGATGGGGCTAACCTTTAGAAAAAGCAAGAATCAGCAGTTTTTGTGGAGATGTAGGACGCCATAGTGGCCCATTCGTCCTTTGGTATTTAGTGCATCTTTGTTGGATGGTCACATCATGACCTCAAGTCACCATTTGTTCTTGCACTCTGCATGTAGGTTGGAAAAGATGCAGCTGAGAGTTCTTGGTGAGAAATGTTACGATTTATCTGATAAAAATGAAGGTTATTATGGTTTATTTGATAGAGACAGATACACATAGTCAACTGAAACAGCTATCTGATGCAAGTGTCATAAGGCTTTTTCTCATATAAACTGAGTGCGGAGTTTCCCTTATACGCATGTAACAACAGGAGATTGTCCGTGTCAGCTGCTTTCTCACCTACTGGAAGTACTCTGGTTAAGGTGAGGGTTGGTGCCTGGATAGAGGGTGCAGGAGGCAGGATTCAAAAAGTACATTGCAGAATTGCAGTGTTTTGTTTACAATGCTGGTCTTAATTTGGTCATAAACAACCAAGTTTCCTGCTGTTCCTTGAATTTGTCTGACAGTTTTGGCAACAGCCCTTACCGATAGAAGTTCCCGAATCTCATTGTCTTCGTGTAAATGACCCTTCTTCTTCACCCTCAAAAGTTTGTATTTTTCCAGTTTCGCGCCAGTCACATGATAGAAAGTCATCAGCACGCCCACTCACTTGCTGTGAATTCTCCAGACAATGACCTGCTCTATTCATACATGGGCTCAACTGGACGTTACACGACTTTGTAGTAGGGAGTTGGCAGGGTTAAGTATGTTTAATGTCCAGTCCAACTGATTGGGACATTTGCGTTTTTACCTACAGCTCCTTTAGGTAATGTCTAGACAAGTTCATGGTTGCAGTGCATGTCTGAAAGGAGCTCTGGTGTTTATAGTGGATGCCAGTTTGCAACACCCATCCCTGTGTGCTTTGGATCTGTCTTGATCTGCTTCAGATCTCATTTTACTCTTATCTTGCTGAAAGAAAAATATTTTGACATATTTTTCATCATGTGTCAAGACAGTCATGCCAGATTAATAAATGGCTTCTGTTAAGTTTCCATGTCCTGAGAACATTAAGCCTTAATCTTAGAGATAAAACGGAGAGGAGAGCCATGACCGCCGCAGGCTGTACCATGAGGAAGTGCTTCAACTCCGTTAAGTGTCTCTGCAGCCAATTACTGCATGGCAACCATGGCAACTGGGGGAACATTTTTTAACCCACTGTAGCTTTGCCCTGGATTAGGAGCTCAAATAAAACATTTTACACTGCCTTCAGGCAGCACAAGACATCCAGTAAAAGAAAGAGAGGAGAGAGAAAATTTGTGGGTGTCCTGTGGCCAGGATGTGTAATTAACAGGTCAGGTACAAGTACATGTGAAGACCCAGGACTTAATATACTTTATCAGTGCTACATTATGCATAATCAGTCACACTGAGTTCTTCAAATGAAGCCAAAACCACCTCCACCCTTTTTATATCTTCATGGCTGTATCTGGATTAATAATCTTGATTCCCGGCGGGGAGATGCCAAGACTGGAGCTATTAATTATATGCGGCTGTCATTCTGTGATTTCATTTATAGGTTTTTCACAGCTGATCTCAACTGAAGAAGAAACATTGTGATATAATATGTTGGAGATATCATCGAGCCAAGAGTTAAATTGTGAGGTTAAAGAGGTCAATCGAACACATTGTAATATTTTGTGTAACAGTACAAACAGCCAGAGAGCTGTCTGATGAGCAGACAGTGCCAGAGTGCCATTTCAGCATTGATCTTTGACTCAACGTCTTCACATTACATTTCTATTGATTTCCATGCAGTTCTTCCATATGGATGAATAAGCAATAAGAGGCTGGTTTTGTGATTTAATCAAAGCAAGGATATAAACACAGGCATTTTTCATTTAATTTTATAGCTTAAGAGAGCAGTTGTGTGATAGCATCAGTGGAAGGTAGCTAAATCCTCATTAGGCGTTGTTTATGTTGTGGCTGAGAACAGGCTATAATTGATCTGATTTGCAGCTTCCTTCCGACTACAAACCAGAGGCCAGCGAGGCTGTACACTCTGCCCACACATCAGCAGCCTCAGGCTGGGGAACTGACCTTCCTCTGGCCCCCACCGTGTCATTAGGTACCTGATAATCCTTTTGCTAGAGGCAAGAGGAAGTCGGGCACCAGGGGAAGAGAGGAGGGGAAAGGAAGGGCGGTCTTATTCTCAGGTTAGACCAGGCTGGCTCGCATTTGCTGCTTTGATCAGCTGTCTTGTGTGTAATCAAACCAAGCAGGTCTGCAGGGAAACAACATCCTATCACATGAGAAGAACAACTCTGTAGCCAGCAAAGCCAACAGTTCATTCAATCAAGCAAAGAAAGTAACCTTGAATAGTGTTGAAAGGATGGTGAAACCTTTTGAGAAAAACTCCTATTTGCTTTCTTGTCCTTAAAACTGCATAAACTGTTTTTTCTTTTGCTGTGATTTGAAGTGTTGGGGAGTAGTGAACTACATGTGATAAAACCAGTATTTAACTGCATTTTGCAGTAGCTTGCTGGTAATTTCACTACATACATATTTGCAGTGTGATTTAAGAACTTTTTTGCCTTCTACAATCATTGGCTGTAAAAGGAAATTAATTATTTTATATTTTCATTTTACCATTGCCTTTCTACTGTAAGTGAAACCCCTGTGATGGTCACCTCTAAAGCTCGGTCTCAGTCTTTCAAAATCTCCTCCATGTTGAGTTTCAGATGCTTCCATCAGGGCCGAAGTTTTGCCTCCCTAAATGTAGCGCTAAGCGTTACAGATGGTCCTTTGTCCTGTCTGCTATCGCTTATCTCAACCAGCAGTGACCACCAATGATTTACCCCTGACAGTGTGAAACTGGATTCTGTGTGCTTGTATTTTATTGGCTGTTTTGTTGTATTCATGACTACTGTCTGTATCTCACATTGCCCCTTAGGGACATTCAAGTTTACCTTACCTTACCTTACCGTACCCCACCTGAACTCTGAAGGCAGGTCTGACTGATAAGTAGTTCGGTTAACCAGGGGTTACATAATACATTGTTATTATATAAATATCTATTATACAAAGATCAATGGCACTCTCATGTTTAAAGCTATAGTTGGGAACTTTTATTAAAAAAAAATAACTGTCATATTTGCTGAAACTGTCCCAATATCCACACAAATGTACATGAGACAAACAGTCTGTGGAAAAAAAATCATGTCCCTCCTCCTTGCTGGAATTCACAACAGCTGAGAGACAACAACCAATCAGAGTCAATGAGTCTCTAATGCAGCTGTCAATCACTGTCAAACTTGGTAGCGTTGATAAAGTATCAGTTAAGTCTCTGTTTTTGCATTGCTTTTTTCTCACCTAAAATGTTTTCAGAAACATATTTTAGTGTACTGTTTAGCTGTGAAATGAGAATGTTCTGCTCTGGCCAGTGGGAGGTGCTAAGTTTTAATTTGGCTGTTTACAACATGGCGGCCGGGTCACAAACAGTTTTACAGCTAAACAGTACACTAAAATATGTTTCTGAAAACATTTGAGGCGAGAAATAGGCAATGCACTTACAGAGTCTTGATTCATATTTGATCAGCACTGCCTAGTGTGACAGTTTGACTGCAGTTCATGAGTAGTGATTGACATGATTGATAACTGCATGCAAGACTCCTTGGCTCTGATTGGTTGTTTTTTTACAAATGCGAGAGTGGTATCGATCTTCTCATCTTACTAAATGATAAGGTTATTTCCAAAATGTCAAACTACTCCTTTAACTTTGAAACTAGTTCAGCATATTACTCTATGATGAATAAGACTTGCAATACACTCCTTGCTGTGTATGTTACACAGCCACAGTTTGGTGTATTGAATTTCAATTTCGTAGTTCATTGGTCAAGCAAATATAAGTGCTATAGAAAATGTCATGTATTGAGTAATGCCAGGATACAAGTCACAGTGCATCTCAGTGATTTATTCTGTGGATTTACTGTTTTATTCCTGGAACGCCTGCAGAGAAAGTCACACAACAATCTAATTAAGGTTAAGATTAACCACTATATTAACAGCATCAAGGAGTTACTATCAGATCTGTTTAGATGCTAGGCAGGATAAGAGGCTTTTTGACTTTGACAAAGGCTGCATTTTACCCTCCTCTCTTTTCATTTCCACTGATGGGAGTGAAGATGCATGGCCAGCAAAAGCAAGCAGCCCATTTTACACTGGCCCACATGAGTTATAAGGGCCAGAATGCAATGAGAGTCAATGATGTATCCTATCAATCGTTCCATCTTTCCCCGCCTGATGACTTGCTGTTACAGATGACTGGGAAGGCAGCCTTTCAACAGGGTCTGATTGATATCAACTCCCAGGGGAAATTGCTACCGTCCATTGCCAGATTGTGGGCTGATGTTTGGGCACAAAGAGAGGGGAGAAATAAAGTGCTGTGGTTGCATCCCATATGACCTGATTCTGCCTCCCGCTGTCTTCCTTCTTTCTTCAGGGGCCACTTGTCCCAGTTTTTTATCTCTGGGTGGGAGATTTGTGATGGTTTGTTCGTGCTCTCACTCGGTCTCCTCTTTCTCCGTAATATAGACGTAAGGCGAAGGACAATCTATGAGTACCATCGCGTGGAGCTGACGAAGACGAGGATCACCAACTCTACAGCCGTGGAAATGCTGCCTTTACCCAGTAAGATTCATTAATTGTTACAGTCTTTGGCTCAGTCAGTGCAGGCTTTTGGACATTATTCTCCTTATCATATATATCAGTGAAGCTATTGATTGTATAAATTGAGATTTGACCTGTTTTGCTCTTTCTTTTCTCCAGCCTGTCTCCAGTTCACCAGCTGTAGCTCGTGCATCACCTCACAGATCAACTTCAACTGCAGCTGGTGCCATCGGCTCAACAGGTTGGAACACTTTTGACGCTCAAAGGATTCACCTGTGAATCTCTTCCCTCCTCCCAACACACTCTCACTAAAGCTGCAACTAAAAATTATTGTCATTATCAGTGCACCTGCAGATTATTTTTTGTATTAAGTCAATCTTTTAGTCTATAAAATGTCAAAAGGTAGTAGAGTGGAGTAAAGACAATATCTGAAAAAGGTTGTAAATCACCACATCAACAGTATATGCACAGAATCACACTGTGATTCCAAAGAGTTCCATATTTTCAATGTGTATCACCGCTCACTCAGCTACAGTAATGTGAATAGCGGCTCTGATCTGATGAGCTGTGCTGCTCTGAAACAGCTCTCTGCTGTGACTGATTTATTTTAAAACTTTTCTGTTTTATCAAATCACTTTATTTAACAAAAAAAAATCAAAAAACGTCATGTTATTTGGCAGTGGACACATTTGAAGGTGTAAATTATATGGTTCCTATCAATATTTTTTCATGCTTGTATCATAAAAACTCCTGGAGATACTAATCTCAGCAAAAGACGTTATCAAAATCCTGCCGAGCTTCGCCAGTAAATAGTGCCCAATTAACTGTGGGCACTCCATACACACATGCACCCTTGAAAATTCTCTGTCCTCAGTAGAATTTGAAGGATCCTTGACATTGGAACTGTCCAGCAGGGTTTGATGATGTAGCCTCCTTCAATTTAAGCCATTTAAGGATCCTTTCTTGACTTTGAGAAGAGTCTAACCTAACTTCTGCTCTGTTTGTGACCCAGCTGTGGTAGATACAGTCAACCAAAGTACCGTGCACCGCCCACCAGCCAGACCAACTTTCTCATTTTACAGCTAAACAGTTCACTAAAATATGTTTCTGAAAACATTTGAAGTGAGAAATAGGGAATTCAGTAACAGGATCTTGCTATTTGATCAGTGCTGCCTAGTTTGACAGTTTGACTGCACTTCATGAGCAGAGATTAGCCCCGTTTCAGCAGAGCAGTACGGTACAGTATAGTTCAGTTCGATGCGCATTTTTTCCGCTTCCACTGTGAAAAGCTGTGGATGGTACCAATGGCACCATTCCATACTTCTCCCATTTTTTTGCACACAGATCTGGTACTAAAAGGTGGAGCTGTGAACACTGCAGTCTGTCGATTGGTCAATAGCGGACGGTCGCTCTGCTCAGGGCTGAGTTATGGCTGGATTGAGGCTCATGTAACCACTAACCACCTAGGGTACCATACTGACAGTGTTTGGTGGAAACGGGGCTATTGACATGATTGACAGCTAAGTTAGAGACTTGTCGGCTCTGATTGGTTGTTTTTGTTCACATGCAGAAAGGCAACTAGAAACATTACAAAGCAATAGAGAAGGCAGAGGAGTTTGATTTTCACAGATTATCTGTCTCGTTTAGATCTGCGTGAGATATGAAAAAAGTTTAAAAGTTACCGACTGTAGCTTTGATGTAAAACAACACCCGTCTGTAGTACACGCAGTCCACACATTTCTTGTTGATCCAGAATGAGTGATGAAACATTTGAATGGTATGAATCTCCATAAAGCTGTCTCCACTGTCTCTGCTACCACTGCAGTGGATTCCTATTCAGTGAATGTAATTCTACCATTTAGATGAGACAGCAGCACATTTTAACATTCATTCAACTCACACCTGTTCTGTCAACCTCTGCTCCACTTTTTATCTTATCCTTCCTGTCTCCCTGCACTTCAAACAAAAGTAAATATTTGAGCTGTTAAAGAAGTGTTAGCGTTCCTCCCCAGAATTTCCTGACAGCTGAAATGTGAGCTGTGGTGGGGTTTTTTTTGCTTTGTTTTCTTGGATAAAAAAAGTTTGCGTAAGGAAGACAGAGATGGGAAATAAATTATGGAGAGATAGTAGAGTTATCATCCACGGCCTGAAAGTAGGGAAAGTTTCAACGTACAAGTCAAAAGATGTTTACTGTCCTGATAAATGTGTAGCCTGAATATGAAAATGTTTTTTCAGAGGTTGTTCAGTCAGACTCGGGGCAACCAGCGTCTCATCTCTTTTGTATGCCGCTGCATTTTGAATGCCTCATGCATCAAATATTAATCTCCCAGTATTTTATTTTGGACTCATCATTTATTCTGTGAGTAACGTGGTTGACTGGAGAAATGTGCAGCACTTATGCTCTGTCCGTTGAGATTTGTTATTTAGGACTTACATTGAATTTGACTTTCCCTCTGCTCTGCATCTTAAATCCCCCCGCCTTTGACAGAGACAAACTAATTTACAGTGCAGCAACATGAAGAAGTGTTTTTCCACTCAGCAATTTATGGACGCTGTGGAGAGATACTGTACGCCTGTAGCGGTGATCTCATTAAGCTGCATTTTAATTAGCTTTCTAGCTGTGTTAATATCTGACTGTTCAGCCTTACTCTGCCCTTTGTATGCATCCGCCACTTCCTCTGAAAAAGGCAAACATGCTTTAAACACGCACTAATTAAAAACCGTGGCAGCCTCGTTGGCTCCGGGGTTAATAAAAGGCGCTGACATTTTAAGAGAGCACCCCTAATGAACTTCTCTCACAGTGAAGTTCTGTGAAGGTGAGAGCGCAGTGCCTCTGTCTTGCTAACTTTTAAACTAAATCAGTGTGTTGTTGAAGCAGGTTAATAAAGCATGACAGACGTCCACAGTGGGCCATAAGTGCCTGCGTAGTCGAACATTGATGTGTTTAGAGGAGCTGAAGGGATTTGTTTACCTAAAGAAAACAGCTGGTGAGCATCACAAATGCAGCACGCAGAAAATTAATGGCTGTTAAGGAGAGGAATATTGAGTTTTAATATGTCTTAGTCTCAGGAAATTGTTATTGCATACTTTTATGTTGAGAAATGGCATAATAACATAACATCATTCTTTTTTGAGCTATCATGGCACTGCTAAAAAATGAGGGATGGAAGAAGTATTCAGCTTGGTAACAGCAAGTATGGTATAATGGACCAAATCACTGTGATGTTGCGCTAACACTTCTGAGTAGACAACTGGCTATTGTTTTAAGTGGGAGGATAAGTTAAATTGGCAAACTTGTTTATTTCTGTTGTCATTTTCGGACATAACTTTAACGTTAAAAGACATATTGTTGAACACGTTGGTCCAACCTGTTTGAAATTTCTGCTGTGCCTTTTTTCTGTACTGTGTTGCTTTGCTAATGCCTTTGATGAACCAAATCTACTGGCATGGGAGTTAAACAATGTACTGCTGAGGCTAGGGCTGCAGCAAAACATATTTAGCCACCTAAAAAGATGCTACTTTCAGGTGTACACTATATGTGGAATAATTTTATTGCTTTACCTTAAACACTAAGTGATCAAGGCAGCAGTAGACCAGCAACTCCTTTGTTCTAAAATGATTGTTTTGTCAATGGAGTCTGGTGGCTTTCAGATAACGGCTTCAGTTCCTCGTCAGAGAGGACTGTCTGACATCAAGGTAAAGCAGTGAAACTATGCTAAATGTATTGTACACTTAACTAACATTGATTGTTGTGAATGGGATTTTTATGGTGGCTCAAATCAAACCAATTGAGGCAGCATTCGCTTAGGTAGGAGAGTGAACAATAAATATTGATGCAGATATTTCTGTGATACATGTGTCATTTTCCTTTGAATTAGGTGGCGGAGTCCGCCACTAACAATGAAGACCATAGAATTAAGAGGCAAATTCAGAATGTAAATACATGAATTGGCTTTTGCTTAAAAAGGTGGACCATAAATAGCTTTAAAAATGGGCACATCAATGAAAATCTTTGAGATTATAACTTTAAGGTAGAGCTCGGTAGGGGTGGGAAAAACAATTGATAAAGCATAGTGCTTTAAGTTCAGCATTTGACAAAATAAAATGCAGAATAACGGCATGTCCTCCATGAATTTGAGATTGCATCTAAAGAAGTGGAAATGAATCCCAAAAATGCAATCTCTCCATCCTGCTGTGAATGTTGGAAACCTGAAGAAAAATATTCTCCCTCATGGGTTCATTTATATTCAAATGAAGCACCTCAGCCCATTTCTAATTAAAACCACCGTGGCTCACTGCGCTAGACGGCAACTAGCTGAGATGGATGCCATTGAGAAGAAACAAAGCACAAGCTCCCCATAGGGACAGGTTGGACCTGCTCAGTAATATTGTGTCTCATTCTGCTCCCCTCTCCTTCCTCTCATGGGGGGAAAGCAGTCGGGGAAAAGTGGGGGATTAAGTGGAGGAATCTGTCTCGCCTGATTGAGCAGATGAGGTAAATTTTGGGGGGGGGGGGGGGGGGAAATAAAAGGAATGGGATGATTAGAGAGGTAGAAAGATGAAAATGGACTCCTTCACATAAAGCTATTACCATAACAATATGTTCAGTAGAGAAATGGGCCCTGCTGGGGACGTGTAAGACTCTACTGGACTCATATTGTCCTCGCAGCGCAAAGCACAGATACCACTGCTGGCTGCGTTTCTGTACCGAGAATTGGTCACAGGTTACCTTCATTTGTGTGCGTTTTTCTGTACATCTCCCACCTGCAGTGACAAATAATTTGCATAAAGCTCTTCAGCTTCAGTTTATCTGACAGAACATGGTGTGAGTGGGTTTACTGCTTTGCATACTAACTTTTCCTTCCAGACAGGGTACAGTTTGTGGCAGCGGGCCTAGACAGAGCGATGGCGAGTTCACCAGTGGGCGTTTTATAATTTTGATCCGTTTACAGCATGGAGGATTAGTCGCCGCCGCCTCGATTACTGTCTGCCTTTTCAGGTTATTACTCAGCAGCACCCTTATCCCCAAGGCCCCATGACCCATTGAACTCCCTCTTACAGATCCCACGTCTTCATACTTTTAAAAAAAAGCCGCTCCCTTCTTGATTGTAGACCTCAGGGGGAGGCAGAGAGTGGGAGGTGCAGATGTTTACTTCTCTCAGCTTGGTTCTGAGTAAAAAAAAACCTTAAGTGTTGTTATATAAAACCATCAATAATGTCTGTGACTCCTAGGAGCGTGAAATTAAACTACAAATTTGTTAAACGCCAAATGTTTACGCAGTACCATCAGTTTATTGTCATGGGAATAGATAGATGTTTGTTTTTACAGCCGCCACACAGAAACATACACAACAGATGAAATGTACACTTGGACTCACTGAGTTTAAACGGTTGCATAATGTCTTCTGTGTATCTGGAAGAGCTTAAGACTTCAGATTTTACAGTCCTGGTGGAAAAGTGTGTTTCTTGTCACCTCTCTCTGTCCACTGTTGAATAAAGGCAGAAATTCCCCAGAAAGAAACTCTGCATTGTTAAATAAATTGGGTGTGAGGAGTTTAAAGACTTGAGTGTTAACCAGACGGGGAGGGCCTTCTAAGTAGGAGCAGTCCTCGCAAGTCCTCATCTGGCAGTACAGTACTAGTGATCTATACACATGCACGTTGGATGGTCCCATCTCCCAAGTTAGAAGGTTAATTTTCTGACTTTGGTTTGTAATGTGGAAACAACATGGACACTGCAAAGATGTGTTCTATAAAAGTCAACATGGTTATAACAGTTGGAAGCTGTTGTGTGATTTTGTTCCAGGCGTGTTGCTGCACCATAACGTCTCCTAAAACTATTTTGTGAACAGCAAGTAACGGATACAGCCTAATACCATATTACAAATTACATAGGAGCAAAATATTTACATGCAATATGTGAATTAATAAAGAGTTCATCACCATCAACTGAACATTTACTTTCATACGCCGTGTTTCTGCAGACGTCCCAAATTGTTGTTCCAACTTCAGGGGGTGTTTGTGGCAATTTTCCCAGGCAAGAACTAATTCTTCCGAATAGTCTGACCCCATGTGAATGCAGCCAGTGTTAGTTGCTGTTTTTGCTAACAATTTTCTCAAACAGAGAATAGAGGTGTGTTTAGTAGCTGAAGGTTATCCATTACTATGGTAACCAGAATTAACCACACGTGTCAAAGCGATAGTGTGGATATTAGCATGAATAGTGATAGCGGCCACTCTTACCAAAGTTATGAGGTGGAGGGTTTTTCTTCACCTTCTTCACCTGAAGGAAATATGAATGAATATGAATCTAACAATTGACAGCTAAGCTTGTTTATTTAACTGATAGTTGATTAGGACAATTAAGTAGTTTGTTTGCTAGTTTCTGTAACGCCAACAACAAGTTACTAAAATGCCCAAATGTTATATAGAATCTTCCTGTCAATCAATAATAACCTTTAGTAAGTAAGTTAGTCATACTATATATTGGCTACTTTGTATCAAACAGGGCTTTTACTTTGGGCGCTTTATCACCCTGTCAGCATATATTTTGCCAGAGCCAGCTGGCAGCCGCTTGGTAAATTCATCCCTATACATAGCCTACTTTAATCTGGAGAGAGACCAGGGCATCAATGAGAGGTGATGGCTCAGCTGAATTTAGGGAAACTGCTTTCAGACAAACAGCATTTTCTTAGAGAGAGCGGCAGAGAAATGAAATTTATTTTCTCTCCAGTATCAGAGAATGCACAAGATTCTGTATTTTGAAAATTTAAAACATGGTGTAAGACAAACCAAGCGTGATCACTCCTCTAAACCTCTGTATGGAATAAATTGTTTTCTGGGACTGTATAATGTATATTTAGTATATTGTTTTATATGTAATGTACTGATTGTAAATTTGCAATGTGTTTAGCTTTTCATTGTTTGTATTGTACTGTGTTGTCCTCTAATATTTTCCTGCCCAGGGACCTCAAATGCAAATTAGCTATAGCTAACTGTGGCTCAGGAGTTGTGTTGTGCATGGCCTCTGTTAAATAAACAAATAGACTTAACTAAAGAAACAAGGAAAGATGCTGATTTACCCATACAGTATTACACAAACTCAGCAAAAAAGTGGAAGTTTCCGGGGCTGTGCTTGGTCCAAAAATTGAAGAAACAATCCCACTCAATCCCAAAATAGAACCTCATAGTCTTATTTTGACTGGGATTCACAATACCTATGCCGTTTGTGGGTACCATTTATAGTTCATAAAATGATCAATTCCGTGGCACATCCGCTCCGTGAATGGATCCACATCCATAAGTCTCCAATGTAGACAAAAAAAAACATCCATCCATCCATCCATCCATCCATTTTCAACCACTTAAGCCTGATTTATGGTCCTGCGGCATACCTGTGACGTTGCCGTGACGCCGTTGTGAACCCTTCGAACTTCTCTGTCACTCCATTTCGTTGCGGTGCAATTCACCACCAGAGCGGTAGGATGCTGCGTTCCTTTCCTGAACGGTTATCGTCGTCTCTAGTTGATTCTTTGTTTAGCTTCCGGCTTTTCCGGACACAGAGAAATGAACGCGGAGCACGGACAGACAGCTCCGTCTGTATCTGTATTGAACGTTGAGCATAAATGGGCCTTAATACTGCAACATCTACATCACAACAGAAGATGTTCAAAGATGGCGGGGATGGCGCAATCTGGAAATACGGAACCGGAAATGCGTTTCTTCCACGCAAACTAATCACAGCCCTCTTGGTCTGCGCTGGGTCTGCGTCGCCTCGACGTGTAGTTACATTTTTGGGGAGGTGCACGTCAGGCTACGGCGGGGGCTACGGCGAGCCTTCTGCGTACCCACGTACCCTACGATGTAGCGACGTCGTTGATTTAACGCAGGTCCATAAATCAGGGTTTACCCGAAGCAGGATCGCAGGGGCAGCAGGCTGAGCAAAGTATTCCAGACATCCCTCTCCCCAGCAATGCTTTCCAGCTCCCCCAAGGCGTTCCCAGGCGGATAAGATATGTAATCCCTCAAGCATGTTCTGGGTCTGCCCCAGGGCCTCCTACCAGTGGGACGTGCCCAGAACACCTCTACCATGAGGCGCCCAGAAGGCATCCTGATCAGATGCCCGAACCACCTCAACTGACCCCTTTCGATCTGAAGAGGCAGGCTCTACTCCGAGCTCCCTCCGGATGTCTGAGCTCCTTACACTAATTCTAAGGCTAAGCCCAGCCACCCCACGGAGGGAACTCATTTTGGCCACTTGTAACCGCGATCTCGTTCCTTTGGTCACTACCCAGAGCTCATGACCATAGGTGTGGTTGGGACGTAGATGGACCAGTAAAGCAAAAGCTTTGACTTCCAGCTCAGCTCCCTCTTCAATATAACATGCCAGCACAGTGCCAGCATTACTGCAGACGCTAAACCACTGATCCATCTCATGCTCTATTCTACCCTCACTCATGAACAAGACTTGAACTCCCTTGCTTGGGGCCTGGTCAGGCTCAGCTCGAATGAATGACATGGAGCCGTCACACTGTGGGCCCACCACCCTCAGAGACTGGCATCAGGGTTGGGTGCATTGTGTGTCAGACAGCAGGCAGGGGCGGGGACCTGGGCGTGCCAACCCCTGATCTTGCCAACTGGTCAAAAATACAAGATACGTTAATTAGCTTGCGCACAATGATGTACGATGGTGTACTGGTGAACCTACAGCCTCTACTTTGGTCATAAGTCATTTACCCGTTTAGCCACAACTGTCTTTTTTTTGTGTGTGTGTGTTTGAGCACAAAATAAAGTTGTTCGAAAATATTTGGCAACCAATGACTAATCACCATCATCAGAAAAATATGAAATGTCATAAAAATACACTGGAGTGGCTCTTCAAGGCCTTTTATTAGACTGAAAACTTGCCGGATGTTCATTTGTTTCCTCTCTCCTCAGATGTTCCAGTGGCTTTGACCGGCATCGGCAGGACTGGGTGGATAACAGCTGCCCAGATGAGGTGAGCGGCCGAGCTAAAAACATTTAATAATCTGTGTGTGTGTTTGTTTGGAACTGCTGGATGATGAATACCTTTTGCTGAGGTATGCATGGAGATCCCCCCCACCCCCCACCCACCCACACACACACACACACACACACACACACACACAGTGACACACACAGTATTTATTTTGTTTTGCACACAGCCTTGACAACACCTCTCATCTTTCAGACCAAGGACAAGATGTGTGACGACATCGACACCACGTATCTCTACCCCTTCACCACCACGATTGTCGCCAGAACAACATCCAGGAGCAAACAGGCCACTGCGGACAGGGACACTTCCTCCACCTCCCACCCCCCCACCAGTGTCCCCACTGAAGGTAAAGTAGAAAAGAGCTGGAACGAGGCCACGCTGCACATTGTGTCGGAGCCCAGAGCTTTCATTCAAGTAGTGATGGATGCTCTCTACTGGCAAGATGTTAAATGAAGTGCATTTGCTGGAACTGTTCTTTATTGGTATTGATGTGTTTCCTCTTTTATAACATGAGCAAGACACTTTTCTTTCTTGGAGAATGCATAAATATGTACTGTAGCTCTCCGCTTAAGCTAAAAAAAAAATCATTCCAGATGGCAGGCAGTGGAGCAAGGCACAGCAGCTGTGTTTGTACCAACTTTTAAACAATGCAGATTGAATTAGGACAAATCTCACCACTCCAAAATAGATGCTCCCGCACAAACCTGTGATCAGGTCGTTCAGCTCTGCTGGTTCACCATCAATCTTTATTTTCAGAAACCTTTTATTCCTTTTCTGATGATGGATCTGTTGATGTGTCAAAAATATTCTCATCCTGTTATTGTTCTTCTTAATCGCTTTTTCAGGTTAATTATAAAGCATTAACTTTCAGAGTTCGACTGTGAAGGGGAACGAAGGCCAATTTTCATTTTCAAGGCTAAATGTTTCATAGAAAATTAGATTGAGCGCTGGCTTTTGTCACAGTAAGTGGAAAGTGACTGTACAATCATTTTGGAGTTTAGTGAAATTGACTCGATGTGATCCACAGATTGAGGTTTTCTGAAAGCTGTTTCTCGTTATTACCTGTATTCTCTCTCTCTCTCGGTTTCAAGGTCTCATTTTACATTTGAGGGCTCTTTCTAGTCGGGTCCCATTACTGTGGCTTTTTAAGAGAAAAAAGAGAAATCTAAAACAGTGAACAGAGGCTAAATTAAGTTGGATTTTGGTTAGACAGACAGTTAAGAGAAGGTAACTTTGTCAAGTTATGTTGAATATTTCCATAAAGTCAATGTACAGATATATAGAAACGTGTATAAATGAAATTTGTTTGGTTAGACATAAATATATCCCTGTAGATCAGGAAACTATACAGATTTTTAAAGATATCTTCAAAGATAAGTCTGGTAATGATTTGATTTTACCAAGGCTGTACAGTGCAACATATACACATACCAGTAATGCAAAAATTGGTCTGTGCAATGACTGAAATTACCGCAGTATCACCCGTTGGTACAGCTTTGTGCTGCATGTGTGTGACACAGAGCTGCTTGTTTCCTTGAGGTTAGGGTTTATGTGCTTGTCTGTGCTTGTAGTGAACCAATAGCACATTGCTATTCTACTTGGTAGTTGTAGTTTGTCATGCGACGGTGAGACGGTGCCTGAATGCAGGAAACAGATGTGTTTATATATAAAAGCACAGTGAGGATACAGTCATGTCATACACCAGATGTATATACCTTACACGGACCTGCCGATGCCCATTCCATGCTGGACCCGTTCATATGAGTTCACCATCACTCTGTTTGTCATTGTGAGTAGAGACTTGAGTCTACAGTGTAGATCATTCACTTCATTGATAAACCAGAGAATTAGGGGGTTTCACATCAGGACATGGGCCTGGATCTGTGAACATTGACCCCAAAATCCAATTTGTTTGATTATTTTGAATTGTGTATTGTGCGGACTGTGCCCGAGTCTACTTGGAAGCGTGGTCTTGAGTATGGTTTATGTGTACTTCAGTATGGTGCCATCTGGTGTGAACACCAACTGCACCAAAACACGGACATGTAATGCTATTAACGCAACTGCAGGGAGTTTTTGACAAGTTATGACACAGTCATTTCTATACTAATGCTTCTAATTCAGACAGTAGTGCAGCCCACCATGGACAGACCCAGATGCAGCCTCGCTGCCGCAAATTTCTCCCTTCATGACAACTGTACAGGATAAATTTTTACATAACTCACCTGTTTACATTTTGTTAAGGCTTAAAGTAATGCATAATTAAGTTATGCATAATCACTCAAAGCGTGGTCGCCACCCCTTGCTCCTTTACAGCACCGGCCTCTTGCCCAAATATGGTCATTTCTGGCTCAGAAAAACCAAGATGCAGAACTCAAGGCTTTAAAATGGGAGTCCACAAATCAATGGGTGACCTTACTGTAGCCATGTCCATTATTTTTCTACAGTCTATGAGTCAGAGCTATGGTGGGAAGCAGCAGTGGATCCACCTCCGGCCAGCAGCAGAGCTTTGCCTCACTGCTGCCCCGGTCCCCACTGATGACAGTCTTTGGCGCAGCAGTGTCCACCTACAGAACCCTTTTCTACACTGTAGCTCAACAAAAATGTCAAGCAGATAGTGACGCAAGTGTTCTCAGATACAGAACAACATTACTAATGTGAAGGCTGACTAAGTTTAAAGTTTTTCATCAGTTGATGTTGATGTAATACCTTATTTTAGGAGAAGCTGCAACCCCCTCAGCACCACTACCCATAAATAATAATAACAAATAAATATGCATATTTAAAATAGTAGTTTATTTTGAGTCAATCCCACATGTGCTACTCTGCTGCTGCAAACACCCACTAGATCCCTAAACGTGTATTATTTCACAGCTGAAAATAGTCCCCGTTTATTCCTGTTTTGATAATATTTGATAAAAAAAAAAAAAAAAAAACAGTGCCCAGCTGATTTAGAAGATGACTTTGACTTCTTTCAACATGAAATTATATACAGGCTTTTGAGACCTGTTTTTAAAGTTTTACATCTTTATTAGTGAGGAATGGGCTTTGAGCTGAGAGCCACAGACAGGGTGGGAAGTTGGGAAGTACTGAGAGGTGGATTAATGCATTGTTGAGTTGACAATGCCATTATAAGAAGAACTTCCCTTAGTGAGCTTAAAGTACAGGACCAACAGGATGACAGCCAATACACTATACTTATAATACAACACATGGAAAAATGAAATACAAAAAAATATAATAATTAGGAACATATGAAAATCTGTGTCATAAGTACATACAAAAGTATACGTTAAAGTGCAGAAAGTTTGCAATTCATAAGTTAAATAGCCTAAACATGGTAAATTACTGTACACAAAATAGCATTTTGGTTTGTTGACAACAACAAAAATATCAAATAAAGCCAGTCGTATGCTTAAAAGTGCCAACAAGTATAGAAGAAACAATCTGACTACAAATCTTAAGTGAGAAAGAACTGTTTAAGTAGCTCACTTTGCACACACAATATATATGTATAGGACATAGTGGTCTTTTCACTGTTGTCCCCTGTAAAAAATAAAAGTTAAAATAGTTTTTTAAACATGGCATTTACAGTAAGTAAGTATTCAAAGATGAAATATGTCATCTCTCACTGACTGCATCCCCCAGCAGTTCCAGGGTGTCGCGCTTCTTTTGATATTGCGGTATAAACTATTGAGCACATGATTCACTGCACCCCAGCGGGAGGCTAACCCAGACCATACTGCAGCATAATCTCAGCTTTATCAAATGCAAATCCTTTTTGAAAGGAGCAGACTGGGTTGTTCTGATGATAGGAAAAAAAGCCAAGGTGTCCCTTAAAAGTTTGTTTACTTACATTTCTTTTTTTATATATATTTTACTTGTCTCCAGAGACGTGAGAGTTACAAGTTGGCAGGATTTATTGTGCCAATTTTCAGCTCATTTCACATTTTATGACTTGTGAGCACTTTATTTAAGTAAACAGGGAGTTTATCTTTATCAGCTCCAGATGTGGCGATGCTAAATCAAGATGATAGGAAGGAGCCACTCACCTACTGTCAGCATATGACACACTGGAAATAATCAAATCCAGAAGCACAGTGTACTGTACGTGGTGTGTTCTCCTGGGCTTTTCTTATGTTAATTATATGTTGATGTGTGGGATACACAACGGCCACACATTAAGCTGATGGACAGAAATCAATTCAGACATCCACTTTCATCCTGGTGATGAATTTATTGCTTCCTTTTAGGAACATGAGACTCCATAGATGAGTAGATGAGCCTCTGAAGGACATCTGGCTTCATCTGTCACATACTGTCAGATTCATACTCAGAGGAGCTTTATCGTCCATCACAAGATGATGCAAATGCGTCTTTGACGTGGCTTAAGAGATGAATGTGGTAAATATGGTTGTAAATGAAGCAGAAAAAATGCTAAAATATGTGCAAGTTGTAACTGAGCACGTCCTTCATTTCTTCTTTATGATGTGAATGATAAAAGGCCGTCCACACCAAAAACAATAACTATAACAATAACCATAAGGATAACGATGTGGGCATTGGCACTGATGAATGATAACGTTCTGTAAACAGCGAGCAATAGCTATTCATAATCATCTCTGTTAATAATAACAACAAAACACTTCCTTCTGATTCAGAGGCTGAGCCTTGTTGAGTCCTTTTACTTTATGAAGACTTTTTGTTGCAGAGACCTTTAGAAGGGAAGTGCTCAAAGTAAAAAGGGGCATGTGGAACAATATTATTACACATTTGGATAAAGGCGTCATCATACTTCGTGTTTAATGTAGGACATGAGCAGGATCAGCTGGGTGTTGTTGTCCAAGTAGGTTTGAGAATGGCCCTGCTCTGACTTCACTGACCTTCTGTGGGTTTTGGCTCAATGTCACTATGTTTCACTCCAGCTTTAACTTTAGCTCTCTTCACGAGGCATCATTGCACTGCAGACTTCAATATTATGATTGATAAAAGAAAACATGACACACATAAAACAATAGAACTGTGTAAATTGCAAAGTGAACTATTAATGACAGACTAATTTATCTTAAGTAGCTCTGAATCACAAATATAGCTTCAGCAAGAGCTGTTTGATGTTGCATGCTTTCAGGTCTTGAAAATTGTTGGCCTATTTTCTTTAAATATTGGGCTGTCCGTTATCGAGATGCCAAAATGTATCGAGCTACTGACTCAGAAAAAAATGTAATTAAAAAGAAATTTAAGACACAATATATATTCAACAAATATTAATAATAAAGAAAAGTATACAACAGTTTCAAAAAGAAATACAATCTAAATTTGTCTTGGCTGCTTGCTGCTGTTTGTTTGTGGGGAAACAGTTAGCCTTTTTACTAAATGTTTTTCTTAATATGGGCCACAAACAGGCCGTCTCACACACACACACACACACACACACACACAAGAAAACAACATAAAATACACCTTGACAAAACTGCACTTGGACATTTCAATTCAATTTCCAGGACGGACAAACGTGCGATAGATGTTGTGTGTACAGAACAGATCAACATAATAAATTTAAAGTAATCCATATGACAAAATGATACATAAAGAGAGAGAGAGAGAGAGAGAGAGAGAGAGAGAGAGAGATGCAGGGCAAACAATAATGACAATATATTGATTTTAGTAATGATATAATGATAATCATAAAAGTATTTTGGTAGCATATATGTTAAAAGTAAATATTATTGTATGACAGTATATGTATGTGAGCATGTGGCAGTGATAATCATGCGTCCAATAATAGCAGAAGTGTGATAATAATAACAGTAGTAGTAGGAGGCATCAGGCAGGACCACAGCAGCAGTGTAACCATGACACACGATCCAGGCGTAGCCGCGATTCGAGGGAACCTGTGAGACACTGGAGCACTAAGAGTTAGTGAGATGCAGTAAAAGGATGTGAATGTTATTGAATGAAGAAGAACCAACTTTTCAGAATCTGAGAGAGAGAGAAGGAGAGAAGGGGCTCGGTGTGTCATAAGAGGTCCTGCGGCAGACTTGGCTTACGTCAGCCTAGGAGCAAAGGGGCAGGTGCTCGAGCACGTTCAGCTAACCCAGTCTGCTTGTGCCTGCCACCAGTGGTGTGATTTTTTGAACCTCAATTATGAGTCCCGCCGCAATGTCATCTGCCACATTGAACACCCTGTAAATTCAAATGGATTGTAAATGTCTGTCAGTGTCTCTATGGTTCATCAAATCACTCTGAAAGTGATCCCAACTGTATAGCTTGCCACTGGCTTTGTCTTTATAGTTGTGGTGTGGACCCAGATGTCCACTTGTCTCAGAACAACTTTTCAAACGATATGTGTGTAGTTATTGTTGTAGTTATCATTCTGGGTGTAAATGTCCCCTCATCACTGACGTTATTGTGTTTCGCAATTGTCAACTAATCCCATAAAAAACAACTACCACAGTCTCTTTTCTAACTTCCCTCTTGTGTACGTGGCCCACAGCCCTCAAGCCCATTCATCTCTGCTGAAGACATAAGCCTCTAAAAACAGGTCATAAATATATAGTTCCATATCTATAGAGGCTCAGTAATTTTCCCAAAACAGCTGGTCACTGTAGATTTTAGTAAATGTTACTCAGACAGGAGGAAATAGTGCATTTGTTGGGGACTATTTCCAGCGGCGGATTAATACACATTTGGTCTACTGGTGAGTATTTCTGGCAGCAGGAAGGTGTATGTGGGATAAACTACAGTGCTCTTGTTTTATCACAGTGAAGGAAAATGTCGCTCCGTGCAACAGTGTGGCTCAGCGATGTGTTTTTAATAGTTTTTGGGCAACAATGGAGGAATAAGATATATATCAGGCGTTTGGCTGCACACACAATAGTGGAACGAGTTCAGTGTTGGTTTTGGGCTTCCCGAGGGATTTGCTGACAGTCGGTAAAATATAAAATATCTCCAGACTTGAGCTGTTGGAATGAAGGATTTTCTGACCTCATCAGATGGAGCATATCAGTCAATGTTTTGGCTCAGCGCACACGGCAAACAATCCATCTTAATGGTGCCTCAGCTGGGACTTTTAGCTCTTTCTAAGCCGAGGCTTTGACCTTGTCTCTCCTCAGTTTGAAAACTGAAAATTAAAGGTGAGCGTTTTTTTGGGTTGCTGTTCCGTAAAACTAACTTGTTTTCTTTGGCAGTATCCCAGTGTTGTAATTTAATATTTGTGGATCATTTTTGGCTTATTGTACGTGTTCTCTCTTTTTTCTCTTTCCTTCTGCGCTTTGTGACTACTATAATGAAAAGTGCAATTTAAAATCGTATTTTTTTCTGAACAACTACATCCTTAAAGATGGTCCTGAAAATGTGATTTGTCTTCAGAGACTAAATAACTTGAAATAGCCTCTTTTGTAGTGCAGCGTCTGCAGCATTGTTCCACTCTAGTTGATGGTGTTTTAATCTATTGTTGAGTTATTTAAGGTTTTTCTACATTATTTTATTCCCAGTAAAAGGAATTTACTTTCCTCTCTAACTGAGGGAGTACCCGACCTTTTCTCCATCACACCCCCATTAATCATTTTGTGGAGGCAGAGTTAAAATGGACAATCCATCGCTGTTGGGGAGCTGGATGGTCTGCTGTGATGAGGATGGATGCAGCGTGAAAAATCATCCAGCTGTGAGCCAAAACACGACAACTAATCCCACAGATCAAACTAGGGCATGTTGGGAGGACCAAAATGTGTCTGGTTCATGTGTGTGTGACTGTGTGTGTGTGTGTATTCAGGAGGTCAAAGGGTCATCCTGTGGTATTTGTCGAGTAGCCGATGCAGAAAAACTTTCTGACACGAACAGAGGATCAGTTTCCCCAGCTCTCGCCTGTCTCTTCAGCTGCAGGGGTCAAAGGTCAGGTTAGAGAGCAGACTGGGTGGCTTACAGTTGTGTTGCTGGACAAGAAATGAGGGAGGAAAATCGACAGACTGGAGAGGAGAAATATGTCTGTGTGGATGGAGGTGTGTTTAGGTGTGAGAAACCCCAGCGTGGAAAGTTTAGGTTTCTTTCTTCACTATATTGACATTCAACTAAATGTTATTTGCCTTATTCAGATGGAAAATACATTTAGGTACAGTGAACACCTCACTAAAACTAACACAATACAGCATAATACAACAGTCCTGTAATAAATCTCACCTTGATGAAGGTTGTAATGTTCACTCTTTTAGAAACAGTTTTAGAGAGGTGCTGATTCAGCTTTATGATCATTGTGGAGGCTATAGTTTGTTTTGCTGCTGAACTGTACATCAGTGGGGGAAGGCTAAATAACAGAAACACCTCTTTTAAAGGAATAGTGTGAAAGATTAATGGCATCTAGCAGTGAGCTGTTTTAAGGCATCGGGGATGAACTCTGCCGTTCGCGATACAGAGAGCAATAAACAATATAAGTCATCACGTGTGCTGCATAATCCTTTGCATAATCATGATTTCAATTTTGACCAAAATAATCGTGATTATGATTTTTTCCATAATCGAGCAGCCCTAATTTTAAGTCTTATTAAAATTTAAGTGGGTGAGGTATATAAAACCTCCTCTCCATACAGTTGTCATCAATGTTGGAATTAGCTATAGAGGCCAAAAGCTTTTTCGTGTCAGGCTGTAAACATGTTTGTTTCTGTTGTGAAGCTGGGCATTTTAACACGAGGATCTGTGGGTATTGACTCATGCTTGGAGCCAGCCTCAAGTGGTCATTCAAGGAACTGCAGTTTTTGGCACTTCCACGTTGGCTTAATTCTTATAGCCCCAAATGCTGCTGCTTGGTTTACCTCATGATCTGATATTCAAGTCTAGCACCTTGTGGAAGTTGGGGACCGTCTCAGAAGTACATGAATAACTGTCAAGAGAGCTTTACAGATTTTAATGAAGCTTTCTCTTTTTTTGTCTTATAGACACAATTTTCATATGGACTTTGGGGAATGCACAACCTCCTATCTTTCTAATATTTTAGACTAACTTTACTTTTATGTCTGCCTTTTTAAACTCAGTTTATACTTGGATTTTATTGAAAGCACAAATCATGCTTAAATATTTGAGGATTTTGGATATATTGTTAAAATTTTGTGTTATTTTGCATAAATTGTGTGCATTTTATTTGTACATGAATGTGTGAGGAGTATGAATGGTAGTAGAAAACAATTAAACACAGAAAATGAAGCATTGTAGATCATTTCTGACAACTTCCAGAGTTGATCCCACTCAGTTCTGGTACAAATCTGATCACACTTATGAATATAGATATTTTTCTGAAATAAATAGATACATATAGTGGCTTTGTGTTACACCCCTACTGACTACAACAGACTAATTTTCCTGGAGCAGTGACGATGATCCATATTCATGACCCTCAGTCTGGTGTGGGATTGACTTGGACTAAATTCTGTGCGGCCTCTTACAGTACGATATCTCATTTAATGATTCATTTCAGACACCGAAATGTGGCTGCATTGGTTCTTTTGAAAATTGAAATAGAAAATCCTTTTGAATTAAATCGTTCAGTGAAATATATCTGGTGGTGTATGTGCTGAATTTGCATAATGTGAATCCTATGGTGTGCATAAATGCCTGCTCCCCTTCGAGGAGAAGTGGGTCACGCTACATTTCCATATTTCACATGTATAGTTAACCCCAGACAGCTTTTATATGCTGAATTATGCATGTTGGACCATTATATTCAAAGCATTCATTTTTAATCAGATTGTAAGTGTAGTAAAATTCATGTTGAAAAGAAGATGGTCCACTAATGAAAGAAGCTTAATCTCATTTGGGACCTTCAGGGAGTTGTTTATGTTGTCAGAGCCACAAAAACAAACTACAAAGAGAAATATTGATTATTATGTCTGACACTCACATCTATCTCTCTTTGTGTCCTCACAGATGATACCAAGATCGCCCTGCATCTCAGAGACAACCAGGGTAGGTCTCTATCTTCCACTGCTGTGGTTGTTGTTGTGGTGCCTTTATTCCCTGTTGTGTTTATGGCTGCATGTGTTTCTTTGTTTGCCTCTTGTTTCTGTTTTCACCACTGAGTTATTGGTCCCTGATTGCTTTTTGATCTTCTTGGAGGACGTGTGGCTCAGTCAGCTGATAAACTTCAGCCAGCACCCGACTATAATGCTTAACTGTCCTCTGCGGGCTACTGCGATCAATTATTGTGTCTGGACTGGTGTGAGGGAAGGCCAGGGAGAGGAGAGGAGCTGTGTGCCCAGAAGAAGTAGCTGCATTAAAGGAATACCTCACCTACAAAATTATTATTAATATATAGATTACCCACCCCGTGATTCGTTGAATTCATGAAGAGAACTTTGCTTTTCTCCTGTGCCTCCACAGTGAACGAAGAATCCAAAAACAGAGAAAATTTTTGATGGATTGAAGTCACGTTTAACAACAGCAAAACTAAATCAGTACATCAGTTTACAAACTCTCACAACGTGTACAGTATAATCCAAAGCCCTTTTTTACAGAACCAAACAATGCAGACATAATGCCGTCCTGGTGTGTCATTTTGGATAGCATGCCAGCAGCTGGTTTCGTATGTAAAGCATGTCACTTGTTTCAACAGCCAATCAGCTTGTAGTGAAGTCCGCTGGTCAAGTTACAATGACCGCAGATGATGTGTTCGCTTGCTGTGATAGGTGCTCCTTCCCTCTGTTTTCGTCCTCATGGTGGGCTGGTGTCGGCAATGGGTCGCTGATGCTGCTCGCTGTAAATCTCCTAGCGGTGGGTTGCGCACAAAGCACGTTGGCAAAACATCACACCTGTCCCATTCTGCCGGCTGTCCCTTTTACACAGGCATTTATTTGGCACTGTTACTACCTGGTGAAGGTAGGTACAAGGTGAAAGAACGCTGTCAACCCATTCTGCGACTTCTTATATAGAACAGCAAAGGGAAATTATGACATGACAGTACTGCTTTGAACAGGCAGTGAACAAAGGACTTAAGTCTTATTCATCCAGTCATATGCTCAGCACTTCCCAAACACATGCGTTTTCAATAAACTCTTCGATAAACTATTTAAAACACTTCCACATACAAATATTGTGCCTGGGCAAGCATGTGGAGTTAAACTCTGCTTAATGGAATGAATGAGTTCAACGTGCGCACTTGTTGGAGGTGTTTTGAATAGTAATGTTTTAGAGAAAATGCATGTGTTTGGGAAGAACTTACCATACAATTGGATAAATGTCACTTGGATTATACTGCATTAGTTGTGTCAGAGATGTTGTGACATAGTGTTACTGTTGTTAAACGTGGACCCCCAGGACTTCCATCCATCAAGAATTTTCTTAGTTTTTGGATTTTTCTTTCACTGTGGAGACAAGCGAGAATTCAACATAATTCCTTTAAGTTAAATGTAACATTCAATATCTCAAAGCCACAAAGGTAATATACTGAAGAAGAATGCATTTAATATTTTTTCATTAAGATTTGGCTGTTTCCTGCAAGGCAGAGGTAGAAAAGAAGGTAGCTGTGCAGGCCTGAAGATACTTTTTAAATGTCAACTATGTGAATGTTCAACTAAAAAAACATTTCTGAAATTGTGGAAGTGAAGGAAAGCAGGGTGTTTTACATGTTTGCATGACAGACTTGCATTAAGACGAAGGCTACAGTCTCTAAAAGTAATTTTTTCACATCAAATAATTTCACAGTGATTGATGTTAGAAAATGCTACGTTTGGTACAGCACCTTGAGAATCCAGAATTTCTCGTATGTACTAAGCGCAACATGCTTTAATCGCTAATATATGCAAAACATCCAATCTCTGCAATGACCTCCAACTCTATCAGTTTTCAGAGATAGCCTCTCAAATGTTTCCAGCTTGAGAGGAATTGGAAATCGGCGGCTTCTATCACTCTTTCATTACACAAACGCTGCATGTCTCTCATCACTCCGGCATCACTCCACCTGGCACTGTGATGATATCTCTCTGCGTGGCCCTTTTTTCCCCTCACACATCTAACCTTTGTTACCACATACCTGCCAGTAATGCTATTCGAGGTGAAAAGTAATTGCAAGGACAACAGCAGGATAATACTGAGAGTAGAAATATATAAAGCAGGATTTTCTATTGTCCAAGTCAGAGATGATTTATTAGTATTCAAATACTACCAGTTACACCCAGGTGTCCTCTGACCTTGACAGAGGGAGGAAACACTGAGGTTATCACAGCTATAAGTTCTGAGATAAGGAACAACAGGAACAAACCACCCTTTCTCTGGAGTTTCTATTCACCACCACCACTCCTCAGAACCCATTTCCAAAGAGTCTGAATTATAGCTCTGCTCAGTTTGCATTGTTAGTTTCCTAAAACCCCATTAGCCAGGTGAGAGAATGGTTGTGCTCCACTAATGTAGAGCTGAAAAGGGAACAGCTTGGCTGGCTTTCCATTGGTCTCATTTGTCCTCACTCAAAAGCTCCAATGCCGTCTAAGAGCTCTGCCATCCATTAGTGTTTACTCCTTCTCCTCAGGTTCTGCTAGTCATGAGGACAAAGCTAATGGAGAATGAATTCAGGGCAATTAGCTTAAGATGAGCCATTTCAATGTCCTGACTGCATTGTGCTGTAACGATCAATATTACCAAATGTCTCCGTAATTATGGGCTTCAGATTATTTTTAGCTCTGCTTGTTCTATGGAAGACAATGTCGTTCATTCAATCATTCATTTTCCATAACCACATATCCTCTTGAGGGTCGCTGGGGGTCTGGAGCCTAGCCCAGCTGACATTTGAGCGAGAGGCGGGGTACACCCTGGACAGGTCGCCAGACTATCACAGGGCTGACACATAGAGACAGACAACCATTCACACTCACATTCACACCTACGGACAGTTTAGAGTCACCAATTAACCTGCATGTCTTTGGACTGTGGGAGGAAGCCGGAGTACCCAGAACATGCAAACTCCGCACAGAGAGGCTCCCTCACCCTAGGTTCAAACCAGGAACCCGCTTGCTGTGACGCCACAGTGCTAACCATGGTAACACCATGCCGCCCCAGTGTTTTTCAGTCGCACTGAAATATCTCAACTAGAGCTGCAACAGTTAGCTGATTGATGCTGCTTTCGAGCTTTTCACATGTGAAGATTTTCTTTTCTCTTTGTTATGTTATTGTAGATAAAATATCTTTGGGTTTTATACTTGTAGCTAGACAAAATAATGGATAATAAGTATTTCCCCTATTAAAATACTTGATACAGTACATTAATCATCATAAAAACAATGAAAATAATCGTTAGTTGCAGCATATCACCAGCTATTGGATAGGCTGAAATTAAATTTTGTGCAGACATTCATGCTGCCCAGAGGATGAACTTTACTGACTTTGGTAAACACCTGGAATTTTCCTTTAGCACCACCAACAGATCAAATTTTCAGTCAGTTTAATTTTTATGACTACACACCTGCCGGCCCATAGAGCAAGTGCACAAGACATTTTTGCCGGCCAAATGGCTAACTTCTAGTATGTATAGCCCTCCACTAACTTGAATGGGGATTAAATGGTTTTATTGTGTGGCTCTTTTCAAGAGGTTATCAGACCGAATGGATCAAATCCCAACAGTGAAACAAGTCATGTCCACTGATCCAGTGATTTACAAACGTGTCTTTCCCAAAGGGAAAAAGTGCTTTTGGGCCCAATGGCATTTACATTTAAGCTCCCCTAATGTTCTCTAAATGGAGACTCCAAAACAACCAACCAAGAGTTTTCGCAAAAAAAAGGATTTCAGCTCTCAAACTGCGTGGCTTAATGTACATAAAGGAGCTATTCATGCTGTAAGAGAACACATATTAGGGCAAGACTGACAGGTCTCTCAGCCTACTTCCGTGATTGGCCACTTTAAAATTGGCTTTAAAGCCTGTCGCTGTTCCTGGGGACTTGGAAGGGACTACCAAACTTGTGAAAATGGCATCTGAGGAAGCTGCAGCGGTTGCAGTTACTCCCATGAACAGTCAAATAGACCGGCAGATATTTTGGTCGGCAACAGTTTTGGTCAAATATTGGAGGTAATCATAGACTGTACATAGAGATGGACAGCACATCTCCAATTACTTCCATTGTATGAAGCCAAAAAATGCCGGATATGGCCGCTGCTATCTTGCACTGGTGGTGTCCAGGGCTGTTTCAAGACACTCTGGGGGCCCCAGGCAAGAGGCACCTTGGAGCCCCCCCCCCACCCCGCCTCTAGGGTGACCAGGTCCCAATAAACCAAATGTGGGACAAGGAGTAGGTTTGTGAGGGACAATGTGGGACACCCGCCCCCAGCGCGAAGTTTAGTCATCAGAGACTTGTCACGGTACCAAAATTGGGACCCACTGTACGATACCAGTGAAAGTATCACGGTTCTGAGTAGTATCAGGATACCACAGCAAGAATGAGGCAGATGTGCCTTTTGTCATTTATAAAAAGATAAATCACTTTTCTATAATACATCAATGATATTTCAATGGAATAAATTACTTATTGACTTATTCATACTTCAAAAACAGCATCAATAAGTGATTAACATAGGGGGGATCAAAATAAAATAAATAATTAAAATAAAAATCAACCAGCCACCCTCCTCCCCTGACAAGTAAAGAACAGTCCCTCCATAAGTAAAGAACAGTCCTTAAAGTGTGGTGAGGTTTGTGGACCGTTACCTGCCACAAAGAGAGAAATGTGAACGGCTCGTTTCCCCTCTGACACGCCACATACCTGTGGGCTGCCACGGCTCGGCTGTTCAGGTATTTCTGGGTAGTCATGAAATCAACAAAGAGGAAATTATTGGACCTGGAGCTGGACTTCTCCATCGCCGGTAAGCCGTTATCTTGCGCCGTATTTGACAGGAATACAGCGTCTGTGACCCCCGTTCAACCCACAACAGGCAGGATTCGCCTTTCATTTCTGCTGCTGGTTGAAATCTGTACTCACACAGCGTGCTCCTGAATGATTTGTTGTGCTTGCGCAAAACTATTTTTAGTCACAAATGCGAGTAAAATGCTCGCACCGTAGAGCTCTGCGGAAAAATAAAATAAATTAATAATAACTTTCACTGCTTAAAGATACTCAATAGCTCAGCTAATACCTGAAATGTCACTGGATACAAACCACTGCAGCAGCATATTGAGTGCCAGGTGGCCAGCGCGCGCCATTATTGACCAGCGCGTGCCGTTATTGGACGGCATATGGACACTCACCCTCTTGCGATTGGACTATGAATTTATCCCACAGAAGTGGTACCGTGAGGTACCGTAGTACTACGGTACTCCAACAATGCAACCAATCATGCGGGACATGGTCTCAATTTGCGTGATGCGTGAAAAGAGACAGAAATGCTGTGTAGACGTCTGGTCACCCTACTTAGCTACTCGCAACCAGCAGCTAGTAGGGGGTCCCATTAGGGGGGATTCCAATGTGTTGTCGTTGTTGCAGTGTTGTCGTTGTTGCAGTGTCTATGTGGACCAATGTCAGCCGTCTCTGGGGCCCCCTTCCAGCTCGGGGCCCTAGGCAATTGCCTAGTTTGCCTGTCCGGTTGCAACGGCCCTGGTGGTGTCATGTTGAGCTAGAATCTGCAGTAAAGATCTCAGCCTGTTTCAAGTTCCTGCCTGTACACGTCAAACCAATTGCGAGCAGTGACATTGACAGCGAGCACATCAATTGGCTGACACAGCTGTCAGTCATGACCTCAATACTCCCTTTTTTAACATTGAATTATTACTTTTAACCAAGCTTATCAGAAAAACAAACACTTGAGCACATATCAGAGTGGTAAGAACTACCTGAAATGACTGACACCACCTTTAAGAGAAATTTATTTGACATGTATTTTGAGTTTTTAGTTTAGCCCATTTCTCATCTGCTAACATGGAGGGGGCAGGGTTTATGATCTGTACTGCAGCCAGCCACTAGGGGGAGCTTGAGATGTTTTGGCTTAACTTTTGGGGAGCTGTCATGTCGTCCGTCTTTATACAGTCTATGGTGGTAATAATCTGCCATGTAAAACAAGAAACATTGTGATAATTTCCAGTTGGTTTACATTACTCATGTTCATTTGAAACAATACTGCACTACAACAATCACAAAATTCACACACACAACGCAAGAAATCAACGGAGGTATCCAAATTGAGACGCATCATCAGTCTACTCTTGGAACACTTACAACTCCATTGATCTATGATGAAAACAAAAATGGCAAAACAAAGAAGACATAAAGACTAAAAATGATGTGTTTAAGCTCTCCCATCTTTAAACAACCCACTATGACCCAGTATAGACTTTGCTGTCTTATTTGGTTTAAGTGAACCACTCAGAAGAGTCTCAGAGCTCCTCCAGGGGGTCCAGGCAGACCCGTCTCCGCTAACATCTCGCTGGTTATATAGCTGCTAGGCTGTTGATTTCTCATCTTGTCTACATCTCCGTCAGCAATGCCCTCTGCCAACCTACTAACACCCCACACAAACAGCCTGTCGCATCGTTTCTGCCTCCAGCTGACCAAGAGATGGCTCTCCTTCCCTACAGCTCTGACAGATAAACACAGGGAAAATGCCTTCATGAGGAAGCGAGCAACTGTGTTTATTAGGATTAAGCACAATAGTGAGAATGTCATGATGTCATTTTCTCTGCCAAGTTGTTTTTCTCTGAATTGCTTGGTGTAAGACTGACTTGACAGTCGGGCTGTCCTGAAAAACACCACATTCAACACCAAACAGCTTTATGAAAACTGTCTTCAGTTGGATTATGGACAATAGAGGTAATCTGCTGTTTTGTTTTGTTTGTTTAATGTGAAACTATACCGAGCGATTTTTTCCACACACCAAATGATCTTTTTAAATTTCCTGTTACGGAGTGCACATAATGGCCACGCTGACTTACAGATCCACACATTCACAGTGTCTGCCCACACACACATTGGGCAGGTTTGATTACCACCCGGTTATTCTGTGTGCTGGAAATCAATGAGGCAGGGAGCCAGGGGAGAGGCTGGTTGGCTGACAAGCTCGGCAGTGGCTATAGCTGCTAATTAAAGCCAGGGAGGAGCCCGGGGAGAGGTTGTCAGGGGGGCATAGAAGAAGAAATCTGCAGCCCTGCGAATAGATTTGGGCTGAACCTGCTATAAATCTGTGCGAGATAAGCTACAAGGGCAGAATCGTTGCTGTTTGTTTCATAATCACTTCATTAGTTTTCCCCTGCTATGATCAGTGTTGTGCTGCTGGGACCAAGAACAGTTTCTCTTTGTGTTTTGTTCTTCTATTCTTATTCTACGTGTTCTCCTCGCTGACAAATTGCAGGTGAAAATTCTCTTGTTTTTTGTGTTGGGAAAATTGTGCCTGCACAGATGAAAACAGATATTCCCAATAGGTTACAGGACGCTCTCATCATCTTCAAAAGAACTCTCCAAACACCTGCCAGGTCGACTCCAATATGAATCGTGTACTTTAAAGATGAGTGATGTCTTCTAAGGCTCGCTGAAGGACAGACTTATTATGTAGTCTCTATATACAGCCTCGTCAGTTTGCATTGCCACGACTGGAGGCTACAGTAGGACTCTTATCAACATCTATATGCCTGATTCCTCCTCCTATCGGGTACATACGCCCCTAACCTTGGTTGGGATTAACTCTTAGTCGTACTTGGGGGAGAAAAGAGCCACTGATGAATACCTAAACAGACCAAAGGACGATCATGCCACAGAATGTTAAAAACCCAGTTTAAACATATACCTTGACTTTGTTCTCAAAGAGAAAGAAATGGCCCCTACATTCTTAAAGACAGAGAAAAACACATGAAATCCACTGAACATAACTGTCGAACTTATATGGCTGAAGAAGCTTTGCAGTGTCACTGCTTTAAGTTTTGAAATCAATGTGATGACTTTTAGCAAAATTTTGGCTCCAAGCATGTCAATTTAAAGCAGATCAGTACATATAAGACCACAGGGTATAGATGAATGATGAGTGCCCCCTGCTGGTCAATAAGAGAACTGCAGCAAAAGGAGAAAAACATTTTGGTTCATGCTTTTATCCAAAGTACCTTTGCATTTTAGACATGTTTATTTGTTTATTTAGAGGAGACCGTGCACATAAATGCTAACTCAACAGACAAATAAAAAGTATTAGTACATAGTAAAGTTGCTATGATGATAGGAGAGAAAAAGAAACAATACAATTAAGCAAGTAGGCTCATCAAATAATATCATCTATAAAAACATCAGATTATTCATGAGTAAATGTAAAGCAGAATCATCAAATCATTAATCCTTGCAGTGAGTGCTCTCTATGCCATAATTAAAAAATATATCTCTGTATAAATGATAAAAAATGTAGGATGAAAAAGGACTTAAATACCAATAAAAAATAAATTCATGTATAAATAAATACAGGAATAAATAAATAAATACATACCTAAATGCATTAATATACAAATAAAAAAATGAAAAAATCTGAAATAATTCTAGAAATATGCATTAATGCATGAACAAGTAAGTAAATAAAGTAATTAAATAATTAATGCATAAATACATGTATAAATAAAGAAAAAAATGCATAAATAAACAGATAAATGTCAAAATAAATAGATAAATGCGTGCATGAAAAGTTGATAATTAAACATTACTTAAATAACTGCAGGAATAAATAAATAAATCTGAAAATAAATAAAAGAATAATTGCTGAAATAAATACAGAATTTAATAAGTTGGTGCATAAATAGATAAATATTTAAATAAATACATAAATAAATAATAGAATACATGACAAAATACATGATAAAATAAATATGAAAATACATAAAATAATGAATAAATACATGCATAAATAAATAAAATGAATAAATGCATAAATAAACAGATAAATGTTGAAATAAATAGATAATTCGTTCACGAAAAGTTGATAATTTAACAGGACATAAATAAATATCTTAAATTTATTTCTACATGTTTTTGTTAGCAGGTCCAAACCACTGAATTTCTTTCTTTCTTTCTTTCTTTCTTTCTTTCTTTCTTTCTTTTTGTATTTAGCATGTATTGATTTCTATATTTATTTATTTGATCTTATATTTATTTACACATGTATTTATTGATTGATATTTATATCATTTGTCGTCCACCATAAATAAAAGGCTATATTTTGTTTTGTCTTTCAGTGCTGCCTGCAGACAGTGCTGTCGACAGGATGCCAGGAACTCACCCTTTGCACACCGGTCTGATCCTCGGCATCCTCCTGGTGATGCTCGTCATGATTGCTGGCGTGCTGGTCACTGTATACATCTACCATCACCCAACCTCTGCAGCCAGTCTCTTCCTTATTGAGGTGAGTGGAGACGATACCAGCTGACATGATTGTATATGACTTATCTACCCCATGCTATGTTGAATTGGTGAAGAATTTTCTCAGTTTTGCAAGAAAAACAGAGTTTCCTTCTGTAATGTAACACAGGGAGAGTAACTGATATACACATGGTCATTTCAGGGGGTGAAGTGTTTCTTTAATTTAAAGATGTGTACAAACTCCTTAATAAGACACATTTTTCTCAGACCTTCAGACGTTCTTGTTTCTGACAAAAAGAAAAGATGAAAAGATGTTTGTACAAAAACGCATCACTCAGTCCTAGGTGCATTTCATCCTTTAACTTTTGACTCGTAAATATGCATTAAGATTTTCAGAGAGGGATGATGAAACTGGGCGCACACAGTCTTTCTTAATAAATGAATGTGAATTCTCTGAGCATGAGTAGGTGCTGTTTGCAGAGTGCAGCTCACTGAGAGGTGCTGAAACCTCCTTTAAAAACAAAACTGCTTGTGTTCAAAGTTCTTCTCATTGTCAATATGACAAGGTCATTATCAGTCATTGTAAATCCCTGATGTGGATTACGCTTGTTAAAGTGAAGCCTCATCTTGGCATACTAAGTGTAGGTTTTATAGTTTATGTTTTAAAGGAGAAGACGAGTGATATTCTATATTTTTATTATTATTGGCACGTGTCATGAAAAGACCAAAACCAGTACACTCACCACTGAAGATGTAAAAACAGCTTGAAAATATATAGTTTCATTTAAAATAATTTAATAAAGCTACTGGGCACCGTAGCTTTAGGCCCTGTTTACACCTGGTATTAACATGCGTCTCCACATGCGTCATGAGTGACCACATGAGAGCAGTCTTACTTGACCTTTCTATATGGAAATAAAGGCATTCATTATTTCCATTTGCAAGACCAAATGTGTTGTTCTTAACAGCGGGAGGCAGCAGTGCACCTCCTGTACCTAGTCTGCTGGAAATTAGCCCAGGAAACATTGGCGTACACACTGTCGGCAGCAGTGCCGTAACGGAAACACGTGAGGCCCCCCTGCAGCTAACCCGAGTTAGGCTGAGTGAGGCCCAAACAGGGCAGGTGTGAGTTCAGTTCAATTGAATTCAAGTTCATTTGCCCTCTAAGTGCAGTTTGTTTAGGCATGTGTGAACACAGCAATCACACTCAGGACTCGGGTGTGCACCAAAACAACCAGACTGAGACCTTCTTGAAGAGGTGATCTCGGTCTGGTTACAAATGAACTCTGGTGCGGTTTGTTTGTGGTGAGAATGTGTTCCAACCTCAATCCGAACCAACTGCAGTCACATGACACATTGTTAAGGTTAAACATGAGCATGTTACAGTCCTGGAGGATTATAATTTTTTCTTTTTAGGGGAACACATGAAGCAGGAAGGTTTGGGGGTCATCTGTCAGAAATTATCACATCAATTATCAGATGAATGCATTTATTCTAAGTTTTGAGGGAGATGGGTCCCCTTTGTCCCCCCTGAAATCTACGCCTGTGATCACCACAGTGCTGAAATCATTTCTCTGTTCACTCATAAACTACCCCCTGTGTAATAAGACACTCAACAATTTACCCCGTAGGGAGCAGATATGTGAGATTTTAGATTGTTATCTGTAATTTTTGCATCTATAAAATTTGGAGTGTTGCATCATAGAATTGCAAGCAGAAAGACGTGGCCATGCCATCAAAATTACTGTTTTGGGGAATTTTTCAGAGCACTAAGTAGAGCATAAATTACATCCAGAATTCAGACACCTAAATGAAATGGCGGAGGGTACATGTTGTACACTGCACAGGAAATAGAGAGTAATTTTGGACCCTGTCTGGGTCTCCTCAGGTCAAGTCAATCCTTAACCCCAGCCCTAACCTTTAACCTTGACGACACTGATCTTTATCTAACCTCTGTCCTCACACATGTCCTCTCCTGCCCACCCTCACAGAGACGCCCGAGCAGGTGGCCAGCCATGAAGTTTCGCCGAGGCTCGGGCCACCCAGCCTATGCAGAGGTGGAGCCAGTGGGCCAGGAGAAGGAGGGCTTCATCGAGTCCGAGCAGTGCTGAGGCAGGAGGGGGCGTCTGCATCCCCGCGCCCCCCCTCCCCTCCCTCCTGTGCCGGCCCTCCTCCCTCCTGCTCCATAGGCACTTCTCACCAGAACCTCCAGGATCTGCTTATCAGTGTACACAATGACTCGTTAAGACTGCGGAATCGGCCCATTGAGCGCTAGATGAGACTGGATACAGCAGCCAATGATATGAGGAAGTGAGAGCGCCCTGAAAACTGATCCCAGACAAGCCCATTGTTCAGCTCCTGTTGGCAGGGAACTGACCCGCCTGGGACAGAGGGAGGGGACAGCATTGATGTCATCGACTCAGTCAGCATTGGTTAAGTTTTGTTCGGCTGCTATCATGTTGCCATGGAGGGATTGTGCTGCCTATTGGTGTGGTCGAGGGGGGAGCAGGGTGAATTATACAATATATATTTTCAGAAACAATACAGAGTATGTGAACACAGATTTCCACTTTATTGTCGGTGGGGTTATACTGTATAGGCCTTTGTATATCCATCAGGTTTTTACTTCTTGTTTTCCTTTTTCTTTCAGTGTGTTGTTTTCACAGGGGTTGGCACATGTGTCTGTACAGACCGTTGGTGTTGCTTTTCAATACCATCGCAGGCTTAAATGACTTTTCCACTGCCCACTCTGCACAGAGAGGTTGCAGCTGTGCAACATGATGCCAGCTGAAGGCCTGTCACTGCGATCGATCGCAGCTCAGAGAAGAGCTCTGAACACTGAGCGGCGGTGTTGAATTAGTTTGTGGCTGGTTTCATTTTCTGAAAATGAAGTGTGAGATGTTTTTTGTTCACTGAGGAAATCTCAGTGGGTTTTTTCTTTTTAAATGGGTGATGGGCACTCTCTATCTTTCTCATTATTTCGATTGGTTCTTTGATTCCTTACATCATGGATACCATTTAATATGTTTTTTTGTTTTTACTTTTTTGCAGTTTTTTTCATTACTGCTGTGCCATTTTGTCCCTAACTAGAGTTTGCACAATTTTATTTTCATTGACATGTGGTACTAATGCAAAATTACAAGACAGGCGCTTGTGAGTGTGTATGCTGAATATATTTTCTAAAGTGTAAGTGATTCTGTGCGTGTGTGTGTGTGTGTGTGTGTGTGTGTGTGTGTGTGTACACGTGTGTGAATGTAAAAGAGAGCAGTTTACATTAGTGATTGGATATCCACCTGCTTTATGGGTGCATATGTTTGAGCTGGCTCTGCACAGGTGATTCTTATTGATTTGAATCTGATGTATCTGGATACAGATTGTTCGAGCCTGACGACACACTGGTACGGTTGGAGTTTCTTTGATTTTTTACAGTGTGGGTTCCTTTTCCAGTATGTTGCCAGCATAACCATTGGCTAGTCTGTGTTTATGTTATGATGGGCTCATCCGTGTCAACACATTAATGTATATACCAAGGCCAAAACATTTGCAGATTCAGGTAACTCATGGCAAACATTTGTAGTATAGCAGTATAGTACAGAAAAAAAACTTTTTTATTTTTTATGAGTGGCCTTTTTTTCTCTACTTTTTTACTTAAATGTGAATACTGTTCCAATCATTACTGATCAATACACAAGGCTTCTGACTGACAAATTCAAACCTTCACTTCTACTGTTAAAAATATTATCTCAAGACAAAGTCATGTTTTTACACCAATGATTGTAGACTCATTTTTAGATCCTGGAATTCTACTGAAAAATAAAGTGTGCAATATTACACCCATTCAGTTTGACACTGTAAATACATAAAAAACAATCATCTGGATTTTTTTTAATTTACACTTTGTTGTCATCACATTGAGACCAAAGACTAATCAGCATCATATATTTACCTCAACCTCCCCACAGCCTTGGCAGCCATTACACCATCCACATCAAACCAGCTAGTTGTAGCTACACAGGTTTATTGGTTATACTTCTGCAGACATTTACATTGTTATAAAACTGCTACTCATGTGACAGCTCTTTAAACCCCTCCCGCTAATAACCGTAACAAGGCATAGCAAGCATGTCGAGCTTTGGATTCCTCAACATCATTAACGGTCAAGGAAACGATAAAAAACTATAGACTTTTATAGTTTTCTTGTCAAAGGTGCGGAAATACTCAAAGTGTCTGGGTGCACTCTGGCACAAACTGGACTGTTCATAAATTCAGAGCACTGTTGGAATGTAACGTTCGGTTATTCAGAACACCACACAGTCGGAGCAGCAGTGTGCCAAGTAGAGTGAATGTGTGATTAACTTAATGGTTTGTTAAATCATGTAGAAATAGAAGGCTCTATCTCTTCAAAAACCAGTGCTCTCATTTTAATGTAGAGCATCAGATTGGATTTATAAATGCACCTCAAATTTAGGTAGCTGTGGTGAGTACAGTAAGGATGACAAGGCAGAAGTTAGCGTTGCCCTGGTTGCTTTACAAATTTGCACCTGTGAGTGCAAAAATGTTAACTAATTTCCAAGTTTTAGGACACATGCCTGCACCACTCTACAAGAGCAAAAGTGTAAGGAATCAATTTAGCTGTGTGTGTAACTGCCCTATTGCAACCTGCAATAATGAATGATCTTTATTGTCACTATACCCACAGGTATTATGGAACATTGTTTTACTACTCTCTGGTGAATTAGAACTAAACAAAAAGCCAGACAAAGACAAAACTCAAAAAGACTGAGAGATAAATAAGAGCAACACTAGAACAAATAAAAGAATCAATCGTTAGTATGTCCGGCTAACCAGCTGAACGTTAGCATGCATGGAACCTAGACACTGTTGGTGTTTGGGCAAACATTTGCATCTGGATGGTGCTTTTGGATTATTTTTGTTTTAGGGAAGTTAACAACTTCAGCAACTCCAGCCAGTGTTACTCAAGATAGGGTTATAGCTGTATTTACTCACATAGGCAATATTAGCTAACCATTGGTTTCTCTAAATGGTATTTAACCAGCGTTGTGTAAAAAGATCATGTTAAATCACTTGAATGTATTTCCAGAATTCCCAAAGACTGACCAAATTGCTCCTAGTTTCTGAATCAAAACAAAGATGGCAACCAGCCGACTATCTGTAGGGAAAACAGTCGCAACTTGGAAAACAGGTTAAAAATTGTTTTTTCATGCAGTGAACTAAAAATCTTTTCATGACGATGGTTAGGAGAATGTTTGAGGATTCTGAAAATGCTTTCAGGACAGCAGTGTTTTTATAACTAACTTCTGGATTAATTATCTTTTCACGATACCAATGGTTCGTTACCTCAGTCACCCAGTGAATGCTAATACAAATTTGTCTGCCTTAGACAGCTTCAGTCTTGTTAAGCTACATAATGTATGTACCTGTCATGCATATTTAAGACCCCTTTACAAAATTGGTGTTTTAGAAAAAAAAGTAAGCAGCAGTAAGCATTAAAAAGTCAGACAGAGACAAAGTTTTTAACCCACTTTTGGAGCTTACGTTAGCTTAATTAGCTAGCTAGGTACAGCTAATAAAATCTGCCAGCGACTTTAATTTCAGCTGGCAAAATGGACGGCCCTCTGCTAGGAATGACAGACCTGATTTAATCTACCAGTGTCTGAAATTAGAAACTTATTGTTGGAAAAAATAATATGAATTTTCCTGGTAAATCTGTAACTTTATCTTCTGTCAAGTTCGAGAGCTTAACGGGCATAGCAACAGTAACTAAAGGGGGTCGAGGCTTAACGTACTGCTGACATCTTTCATCTAAATTTCATCATCTAAATACACTCTCATTGACACATAACCTGCACACCCAAAGATTCACACTAGAGTCATGCACAAATACCAAATCAAGGACTCACTGGCTGTTAAAAACCTCCACACAGACCTTTCTTTACAACCACTCTGAGATCTGATGTAGTCTCATTGGTGTCGACCAGAGAGTACAAACTCCTGCTTTTCAAACCCTCTTTTATGACTCCTCATAACTCCTTTCCACAGCAGTGTTTAAACAGTGTACAGAAGAGAACAGAGGATCAAGTTTAACAGGCTTTTTCATGCAGATATTTTCCCTGATACTGTTAAGATCGATCCCTCATCTGCTTGTTTAATACTGCCACCTGAAGCTGCAAGTGTTTTTATAACCACTGTCAAAATGCAGTCAGAGAAAGTGGCCGACGGTAAGATTTGTTTGTGTTAAACTCGTCCACGCAAAAAGCCGAAACACTTTGATCATAGAAAACTCCTCACTTGCTTCACTGGACTTGACTAATCACTTTCACTCCCACTTTCCTAACAATGTTATTTTAGATGACGAAAAGCAGCATAGTGGTGTTGTCGAGACAGGTCACTGATTTCTCTCTGGCTCATGGGTTGGATCGAGAGTCACACAGATTCAGCGACGATTGCTGGAGCTCAATATAAACAAGAACTGCGACCTTGTTTTATTTTATCATGACACACAATGAGACTCAAAATCACACAGTATCATAGCTGTCTGTAATTTCTGTAACTACTGTTGTTTTGATTACATTTGAAATAATAAACAATGTTAAAAACAAAGACATCCTCTGAATATTGCTACTGTACTTCTGTTCATGTGTGTAACTGCTTGTTTTTCACTATGAGGTCCAGTGTGTGAGATTTAGGAACTGCCCATTGGTCCGACATCCCATTGTTCCGACCATATTAAACCCATCGTTCTGAAGTCCGTTCCGAAATCATCATGATGCCCTGTGGTTAAGGTCTGGTTAGGTTTAGGCACATAAACCACTTGGTTAGGGTCAGGAAAAGATCATGGTGTGGTTTAAAATGAACAAGAAAGTGACAAACACATAAGCCGTGAGCCTGCTTTGCCTCACTCCTGACCCAGAGCTGGTTGCTGCGCACCATCAAGGTAGAAATACGTCCACCAGGAGCTGTTCAGCACCGCGGACTGTCGGACTAATGGGTTGTCGGACTAAGGGGCTGTCGGGCCAATGACATGGACCCTGAGATTTAAGGGTTGCAGACTGCAACCATAGACTTTAAAAGTAATGGTCACTGTGACATCACCCATGGGTTTGTTGACTCCTGTTTTGAAGCCTTGAGTTCGGCATTTCAGCCGTCACCATCTTGGTTTTTTGGACCCAGAAGTGACAATATTTGGCAAGAGGTTGGAGCTGTGGAGGAGCAAGGAATGGATCTGACTGAGAAGCTGAGGACACTATCGGCAGACAACCTGTCATTTAAGCTGCCCGTCCTTAATTATTTGTAACTTTAAACCTTAATAAAATGTAAATGGGTGGGTTATAAAAAATGAATCTCTGTAAAGTTGTCATGAAGGGGGAAATTAACCATAGAGACCAATGCAGTATTTGTACCAGGCTGTAAACATGTTTATTTCTTCTGTAAAGTTGGGCATTTTAACATGGGGGTCTATGGGGACTGACTAGCTTCTGGAGCCTCAAGTGGCCGTTCAAAGAAATGCAGTTTTTGGCACCAGAGGTTGCCACTTGATTGCAACCAGCTGAAACTTCTCCCGCTTAGAATTCCTTCAGTGTTCATAATAAATAATAATAACTTGGATTTATATAGCGCCTTTCAAGGTACCCAGGGCCACTTTATAAAGTAAGAAAACAAAAATAAATAAATTCATATTGAGGAGGTTCTTAGCACGAGCCAAATTATCTACAGAGATCTCTTCCTTTCCAAAACAAATGGACCAGGGGTCTCATTTATAAACATTGCCTATGCATAAAATGAGGCCTGAAAGAGGCATATGCCACTTCCCACGCAAAAGTTGTCATGTATGAAAACACACTTGATGGGAGAAGCCTGATTGTTGAAATTGTTGAGTATCTTATGACGCATGCCATTTTTGGCTTTAGTCCGTACGTACATTTTTAGTGTGGATCCTACGCACTGTTTTATAAATGAGACCCCAGGTGACTAAAACCATTAAAAACACTGAATTAAGCAGCTTCACATTACAAATCAATGTATCTCCAACACTGTTTTGCATGTCAGTGTGGGCGGCATGTCCAACACTTGCTAATGTGTGCTCCTTTTTTTCTCTGATAACTAAAGATCCAGACATTCTGGAGGTGTTTATAGGAAGCTAAATTATCCACAGAGATCTCTTTCTCTCCAAAACAAACGGATCTGGTTATTAAAACTGGTAAAACAACTGAATAAAGTGTTAAAAAAAAAATCTGTATTTTTTCCAACACTGCTCGTTGCAGAGGGGCTGCTAACTACAGTGGAGCCAGACAGTGGTCCATTCTTGGCCACTGTGGAAACATTCAGGTGCAACATGACAGTCTCTCTCCCCATATAGATATAAACAGCTCAACTTTAATTGTCAGCCAGTTGTACACTAAATAAATTTAATTAGAGTCATTTAATTTCTATGTTATACTTATTTTATATATTCCATTTCTGCCAATATATGCCCCTTAATCCTACACACTGAACTTTTAAGCGTACACTAAGCTATGGCACCATGAACAGAAGGAGCAAATTTCATATACAGCCACTTCCACTGTTCCATTAATCAGTATTCATGTTTGCATTCAATCCATAAATACAACAGAGAAACAGTAAGCATCTGGGAAAGTGAAACACTTATGTATTATTCTGCCACCATAATTACTTTAAAAATGCATGCCAAAAAATTTAAATAAACATTCTGCAAGTCAATCACTTGACATCTTCCCACAGCTTTGTGCAGCCAATCTCCATTTGAAAAGCATAATTTTACACTTTAAATGCTCTGTGTTGGTCCTGAAGGAGAGCATGACAGTGAAAAATGCAGTGTGGTTTGTGTGAAATCCTCGGGATCAGGTAGATAGTGGAACTGCTTCCCTGCAGATTGAGGAGATAAAGCTCTACAGCAGTACAGAGAGAAAGCTGAGTAAACAGTACAGCACAGGGGAGCAAAAAAAAAGGGTGGGGGCATGAAGGAGGGAAGTGTTATTGACCATTCAGAAGCACCAAGGACAAAAAGAGAATTAAATTTGTATAGTGTTTGGCACTTGTGCTATAACTCAAGGAAAGAGTCGGGATGTAATGAAGTGTAAGACAAGCGCTGCACATTTTGCCTATAAACAATATTAAGTGGGTGTTAATCGCTGGGATACCCAGCTATTACATTCCCCAAATCAACTTAATGAATCTATTGTAGGCAAGGTCATACCAGTGCTGTCAATCACTCTGCTGCTGCTACTGTAAACACGTCCCATCACCTGTGACCTGATGATTTACTGCCATCCAGTGGTCACACTGCAGAATAACACTGTTGTCCAACTGAGATGGCTATATGCTGAAGTTTAATACATCACAATAATCCATGGGCCAGGCCAGAGTTTGGTGCAAACTCAGGTGGCAAACTATCTTTGGTACCAGTTTCTCAGCCAGCATTTCTATGTGGGGCCCATTTGGGTGATAAATAGGCTGAAAAATGGGCCCTATATGGGATTGCCCACAGGTTCTACAGTGGCCCCATGCTGATTGCCCACATGGTTGATTTTACCCAAGTGGACTCCAGATAAGATCCCAATGTTGAGCCCATACCCACTTGGTACACAGGTAGTCCCAGCATAACCCACGTGTGGCCCATTTGGGTTAACCCATCAGGTGGATAATCCCATATAGGGCCTATTTTTCAGCCGATTTACTACCCACATGGGTTGTTTGTAGGGACAATATAAGTACTTTGAAAAATGATAACCATTTCAAATGAGCGGCTTTACCAAGTTTTTCATTAATTGTTTTTCCATTATCACCCTATAGTATCTGCACAGTGGGTTTGTGTGTAGATGTTATGTACCAGTACATGCAATAATCATGTCTGAGTCACATAAAACCACACATGTATGTCTACAACACACACTGACCAAAAATTTAAATGCAACACTTTTGTTTTTGGTCTCATTTTTCAAAGGTTTAAGTTAAAATTTGAAGACTTTTTTTGCACTCAATAAATTCATTTCTCTCAATTTTTGGTCTCAGATTTGTTAAAATCAGTGTTAGTGAGCTTCTCGTTTTCCAAGATAATCCATCCACCTGACAGGTGCAGCATATCAGGACACTGATTAAACAGCATCATTACCACACAGGTGTGCCTTGGGAAGGACACAATTAAAGGCCACTAGAAAATGTGCAATTTTGTCTTGAAACAAAAAGATTTACTAAGATTTCACAAGACTAGTGCTACAGAAATGTATTTTTGGTCACAGATACCCCAAGAATCAGTCAGTATCTGGTGTGACCGTCATTTGTCTCATGCAGTGCAACACATCTCCTTCACATAGAGTTGATTGGGTTGTTGATTGTGGCCTGTGAAGTGTAGACCCACCCCTCTTCAATGGCTGTGCAAAGTTGTTGGATATCGTCAGGAATTGGAAGACGCTGTCATACACACCGATCCAGAGCGTCCCAAACGTGCTCAATGGGTGACATGCCTGGTGAGTACACAGGCTACGCAAGGACAGTGATGTTTTCAGTTGCCAGGAATTGTGTACAGATCCTTACAACATGGGGCTATGCGTTATCATGCTGCAACATGAGGTCACGGCAAAGGATGACTGACATGACAACGGGTCTCAGGATCTCTTCATGATATCTATTACCCCGTTTCCACCAATATGGAACTGGTTCCATACCAGTTCCCACACCTAACTTTGAACTGTTCGAAGCATTTCGACCAAAAATAAATTGGTTTGGAACCTGAAAAGTTGGTTCTCAGCTGGAATAGAAAAAGATACTTGCTTTTTCTTAACCTAAGGTGAAAATTGTGACATCAGTGGGCCTTTCACCGATTGGAAAGAACAGATGAGGAAGGCAACAATGAGGAAGTAAGAAAAAAGAGTGCTACTACTGTTTATTTCTGTTGTACATTGTGCAATGCCCTCCACTGATGACACATCCTTGATCATAATGGTTCCGCTCAAAACTGGTGGAAACTCGGGTTGGTTTGCCAGCACCAATGTTCCATGAAACCTGAACACAACCAGTTCAGGAACCAGAGCTAATTTGGTGGAAAAGGAGTGCCATTCAAACTGCTATCAAGAAAAAGCTCATGTGTTCATTGTCTGTAGCTCATGCCAGCCCATACCATAACCCCACAGGGCACTCTGTTCACAATGCTGGCATTAGCAAACCGCTTGCCTTCACAATGCCATCTGCCCAGAATAGTGTAAACCAGGATTAATCTGTGAAGAGAATCCTTCTCCAAAGCCCCAGATGCCATTGACTGAGAGCTAATGATAAACTGAAGAATGCCAGATATCTGATGTGCTCAAATGTCTTGCCATCCTGGTGTTCATGCACACTTTGTAGACTGTGTTTTTCTGTCAATTTAGACAATTAAGGAGACTGCAAACAAGAACACCTAGACTGTCGAGGAACGAAAGGTTTCATTCTGAAAACTGGAGCAGTCACTTAAGAAAACCAACGTCAATATCTGAGATAACTTTGGGACATGGCAGACAAGGCTTGTGGCTTGTGGAGAAAAGCTGGGTAAACCCTCAAGGTCCAGATGAGTCTGATGTCATTCTCTCACCAGCAATTGCTGTATTACCAGACAGAGCCAGGAATCAGCTGCAGAGGTAAACACTTGTAGAAAAGGTCACCAGCAGCCAAGTTCTATGACAAAATGAGAAAACAGAATCTGACAACATTCTCAAGCATCATGAAAAGTGACAGAGTAAACCAAGCACAAAACAGGGAGGTGGTGGAAGCAGATGAAGATCTTTTGGGCATGCCATCATTTCTTCCTTAAGTAAAGATGTTTAGTAAAGATGTTCTAGCTCATCCTTTTGTACCAGTGCTTTGGGCATTCTCAAATCCACGTGGCTCATTGCGGAAAACTGACAAGGTCACTGTTGCAAGAGAAATCAGCATCAGCAGTTGAAGATATTGGAGAACATTCTCCAAGCTTCATTGATGAAATAAACCTTGTTCAGAAACTGTACGGCGATGGCAAGACTTTCAGAGAGATTGCTGGCTTTGTGCTTAACTTGGCATTGCAAAAAGGATACATTAAGCGGATTGTGGTGTTCAATGTCTACTGGAAACCATCAATCAAGAACGCTGAGAGATGGAGCTGTGGTTCAACATGTACGGATGTACGGATGGGCAACTGATGACAAAGTTATGATAAATACAATAAATAAATGTTCACCATCTTGCTCAAATAATACTATAGTATAAATATGTATAGGTAATTTATAGACATTTGGGTTCCTCGCTGTAATGGATGTACAATATCTTTCACTTGTCTTACAAGTATGCGAAGGACGCTCAGCACCAATGGACGTCTTGCGACTTATGGCCTTCAAGAGTATACAGACCTGCAAGCATCAATGCTTGAACAAGTGCAGGAAAGAGGTAGAATTCATTTTTTTCTATGTATGACATGTTGTGTTCAAATGAAGTGACAGATTTTTTTCATTTTTTGGATCAGTGGTTGGTGTCATTGAAGGTTGATACCTGTAACTAAGCTGCCACTTGGAAAGAGTAATCACATTGCACATACAGTCAGGTCCATAATTATTTGGACAATGATACAGTTGTCGTCATTTTGGCTCTGTACACCACCACAATGGGTTTTAAATGAAACAATGAATACCTGCTTAAAGTGCAGACTCTCAGCTTTCATTTAAGGCTTTTTTCAAAAATGTAGTATGAACCGTGTAGGAATTACAACCATTTCTTCACACAGTCCCCCGACTTTAAGGGCTCATAAGTATTTGGACAAACTAACATAATCATCAATTAAACAGTCAGTTTTAATACTTGGTTGCAAATCCTTTACAGTCAATGACTGCCTGAAGTGTTGGACACATAGGCATCATCAGATGCTGGGTTTCTTCCCTGGTGATGCTCTGCCAGCCCTTTACTGCAGCCGTCTGCACTTCCTGCTTGTGTTTTGGGTGTTTTGCCCTCAGTTTTGGCTTCAGCAAGAGAAACGCATGCTCAGTTGGATTCAGGTCAGATGATATGACTTGGCCATTGCAGAACATTCCACTTCTTTGCCTTAAAAATGTCTTTGGTTGCTTTTGCAATATGCTTCAGGTCAATGTCCAACTGCACTGTGAAGCATCGTCCAATGAGTTTTGAAGCATTTGGTTGAATCTGAGCAGATAATGGTGCCCCAAACACTTCAGCTTTCATCCTGCTGCTCTTGTAAGCAAGACAAGACTTCACTAGAATAAATACAGAGGGTTTATCACAAGATGCAAACCATTGGTTAGCCTTAAAAATGGAAGGCCAGATTAGAGTTTGTCAAAAACCATCTAAAAAGCCTGTACAGTTGTGGAACAGCATACTATGGACAGATAAAACAAAGATCAACTACCAGAATGATGGGAAGACAAGAGAAGGAAGAAGGGAAGGAACTGCTCATGATCCAAAGCACACCACCTCATCAGTGAAGCATGGTGGAGGTACTGTTATGTCATGGCCATGTATGGCTGCCAGTGGAACTGGTTCTCTTGTATTTATTGATGATGTGACTGCTGACAAGAGCAGCAGGATGAAAGCTGAAGTGTTTGGGGCTACATTATCTGCTCAGATTCAACCAAATGCTTCAAAACTCATTGGACGATGCTTCACAGTGCAGTTGGACAATGACCTGAAGCATACTGCAAAAGCAACCAAAGACATTTTTAAGGCAAAGAAGTGGAATGTTCTGCAACGGCCAAGTCATATCATCTGACCTGAATCCAATTGAGCATGCGTTTCTCTTGCTGAAGCCAAAACTGAGGGCAAAACACCCAAAACACACACAGGAAGTGCAGACGGCTACAGTAAAGGGCTGGCAGAGCATCACCAAGGAAGAAGCCCAGCATCTGGTGATGCCTATGTGTCCAACACTTCAGGCAGTCATTGACTGTAAAGGATTTGCAACCAAGTATTAAAACTGACTGTTTAATTGATGATTATGTTAGTTTGTCCAAATACTTATGAGCCCTTAAAGTCCGTGTAGGAATTACAACCATTTCTTCACACAGTGGGGGACTGTGTGAAGAAATGGTTGTAATTCCTACACGGTTCATACTACATTTTTGAAAAAAGCCTTAAATGAAAGCTGAGAGTCTGCACTTTAAGCAGGTATTCATTGTTTCATTTAAAACCCATTGTGGTGGTGTACAGAGCCAAAATGACTGTATCATTGTCCAAATAATTATGGACCTGACTGTATCATCTAGATCGGTGGTTCCTAACCTTTTTACTTACATAACCTAGTGTTTTCAAAGAAATCCATATAGTGATACATATCGATCGTGAATATTTAAAATGTTTGATACAGTGTAGCCAGCTGTGCTTTCTTGATTCTCTCTTCTTAATGTTTACTACAGTCATTCTGATGACGATGTCATCATTGTCATGTTATTCCCTTCCGTTTAAATTTTATGCCCTCGATGTCATTTATTTCCCTGTGGTGTCAGAAATAGTTTCAAATATAGATATTTTTCAGTATTGTATAGAAGTTAGACATTCCAGTATCTTGACAACACTAATTTATAATCACCTTAAACACATAATTCATCAAATAAAAGAAGAACATTTTAGTATGAAGTCTTCACCTGTCAATCATTCAAGAACAGACCCCAGAGTTAGATCAAAATATATATTTATTTGAACCTGACAAGAAGAACACAGTGCAAAGGCCCAGACAGATGACTCTGCTTCGTTCATAAAATTTTAAGAGTGACTCGATTCACGTGCTGACCTCTCAGAGTAACTCAATCACCATTACAAACACTGCTACAAAGGTGGGTCACTGTAGGCTGCATGCCCAACAGCAGTTTCTGTACTCATCTTCTTTATCCTGACCTTATTTTGTGACTCTTATTAAATCAGTGTTTTCAAGACTCTTCCCTTTGATATATGTATTTCTTATCAATTTTTTTGACTGGTGCATTAATTGTTCCATGTTGCTTTGTAAACTCATACTGGAGTGCTGCAAGACCTCCAATCATTTAACCAAAAAGTACAGGTGATTATTGATAATTTTGATGTGAAAAGAGTTTATGAAAAAATAAAAAAAAAATTTGGGTGTGATATGATAATAAATTTTTGGGTGTGATATAATAAATTTAATATCTTTGGGATTGGGACTATTGCTCAGACAAAACGACTATTTTTTTAAACTTATTTTTTTTTGACATTTCATAGACTGAACAATTAATATATTCATTCATAAGGAAGGATAGGAGTAAGTAATCAAGTTTTATAGCCGTCTCTTCTACTCAGGCCAATTTATAAAAGCTTGTGGCTTGCAGTTACAGTCCAGGTATTTGAAGTAGTGTTGTCAAAAATATCCATTTATTGATACATATTGATTCTGAATATTTGAAATGTTTGATACACTGGTACCAGCTGTGCTTTCTCACTCTCTAATTGTTAATGTTTACTACAGTCAATCTGTTGTTCTCTACTACTAACCAAGAAAACAATGTCATCATTGTCATGATTATTCCCTTGTTATATTTATCTTTCAATAAGAATCTAAAATTCCATGCCCTCAATGTAAATTTTTCCTCATGGTATCAAATATAGTATCAAATACTGATATTTGTCAGCGTGGTATTGACGTTAGAAATTCCAGTATCTTGACAACACTCATTTTAAAATCACCATTTTAGTGATATAGTGATCTTCACTTCACCTCAATCATTCAAGGAACAGGCCCCAGAGTTAAATCAAAATATATATTTATTTGAACCTAACAAGAAGAACACAGTGCATTTCTAACATTGCATTTCCAACAACTTCACTACAAATAGTGTCTGCCAATAAGACACGTTGAAGGCCTGCAGAGGTCACAGTGCAAAAGCCCAGACAGATGACTCTGCTTCGTTCATACATTTTTAAGAGTGACTCCATTCACCTCTCAGAGTAACTCAATCACCAAACATTGCTACAAAGGTGGGTCACTGTAGGCTGCATGCCCAACAGCAGGTTTTGTACTCATCTGCTTTATCCTGACCTTATTTTGTGACTCTTATTCAATCAGTGTGTTCAAGACTCTTCCCTTTTTATATACACACTTCTTATCAAATTTTTCTGACTGGTGCATTAATTGTTCCATGTTGCTTTGTAAACTCATACTGGAGTGCTGCAAGACCTCTAATCATTTAACCAAATACAATAAGACCCACATCTGTAGCAGTGTGAAAGAGGAACTTCAGTGTTTTTCAACCTCAACCCTATTTTCCCATGTTTTTTTGTGTCTACATTATTAATGGGAACAACAATCTTTAAAACTGGTCCAGTACTGAGCGAGAACGCTGCAGCTGGCAGCCAGGAAACAGGCTGCAATGTAACCACTCAGAGCATTTGGACATCATCAATTGACGTCCACTTAAAGTGCTTTTTGCCAGGGACAGGCCCAGACTGTTGATTCAAGGGTCTGTCAACGTTATGGAAATGATCCCTACAGAGACAGACTTTCATTTTAAAGAGTAAGATCCTTTTTGTTTATCTAGAAACAGCTTCAAACTCACCATCACCAAACCCACCAGACTCCACTTCAATAAACAGTCATTTTAGTGTGTATAGCACCAGAATATTTTCACATCTAGGGAGTGAATTAAGAGTTTATTTCAACCAAACCAGAGCTGGTGATAGCTGAAATGGTTGGTTGTGACGGTCTCGCTCAGTACTCAATACCATTAGTCAGTTAAGGCCTCTACACATGATCAGCTGTAAAACCGCTTTGCGCTGGCTGTCCCATTGTTTGTCTATGGAGAGGGCGGCAACGCCTGACAAAGTGGCACTGCTACCCTTGGCATCGCGCACCGCTCGGATTTCCCGCCCGAGTGCTGCGCTTAGAGTTGAAATTATTTGAACTTTGACCAAGTTTACCTCTGACCTCTGCGCTGCACCTGGCGGTGAGCGAAGCGTGTTGTTCTTATCATGTGATGGCCGCTTTAGTCACAAAAACATGGGACAACACCACCCAGGATGAAAAATACCTAACATAACCTTCAAAGTACTTTTTCATGACCCTTTTCTTTTGTCAAAACCCCAAATAAAATGTTAAAATGTCAGTAATGCTGAGTCCTTAAGGCACTAATCTACAGCAGACCTGTTTCCTTTCTCATATTTCAGAACTAAGTGTCAACAAACACGTCTGTATTTGACCTCACTGGGTGATATAACCATAGTGTATATCTTAGTATACAGCATTGGGTTTGCTTTCTACTCTCGAACCAACACATTCATGCAAAAGACTGTCAGCTTCTTTACAGAAACAGTATCTACAGCGTTCCTATAATTAAAGGCTTTGAGTCAGTCGTTTTAAATCCTGGATTGAAACTCAGACGCTCTAGCATTGTTACTAGAACCTGATTTATACCTGCATTTCACCAGGGTAACTGAAACTTAATTAGCAGTATTCCCATGTGAAACAGACAGCTACATTGGTAACCATGTGTACACATGAACTGATCTGCGGCAGAGAGATGTGTTCAAGGCAAGGATCCACTGCTGGGTCCACCTATTTATGCTTTGTACAACTAGGTCAGTCCTATAATGGCGCCATAAACACAGACACACAAAAGGTGAGACAGGAGTGATTCAACTGGGGCAACTACAGCATGTAACCTTTGTTACTGTGTGTTTCCTTTGACTGGGACACTCAGATGGTGACACAGCACTGCCTAATTCATCTAATGGTTAGTACAGTGAGCGCTCAAAGGCCTATAGAAAACAGTCACACATGTCCTCAGAAGAGTTGAGGGTCTGTCCAGAGCAGCTGACTCTATCCAATAATAGTACACCGTGACAAACAAAGAGTTGGAGAGTACCATACTGTTTGTATAGCCTGCTCTAAGGCAAAGATTACACCAGTTTTCACCAAGATTCTTGTTTTTCTACAAACAAAACTCTTTAAGGTGACCTTTAAAAGTCATGTTTACATTCAGAGTTTTACACCAAACACATATCTGTCTCCTTACAAAGTAACTTGACACCAGGCTGAATACCAGTGTTCTACTGTCTTTTATGGTTGTAAGTTTCACGACTGTTTCACATCTGACCTCTCGATTGATTGATTGATTGATAAATCATTTAGTCTAAAAAAAAAAGGTCAGAAGAAATTAATTTTAAATGTATCAAGAGTATCCTGAATCCAAATAGGTCATCTTAAAATGCTTGTTTTGTCCAGGCAAATATATTTATTTTCAGACTTTCAACAAAGAAAAGTAGATACTGAACAAGTTAATATTTACTATTTTTGATTGTTATAAATGATTTAAACTATTAACTGATTATAAAACGGTAATAATCGATTCATTGACTCATCGTTGCAGCTTTCAAGGTAATGCATCCTTGCTTTAAACAAATCCCTCTGCCACAAAATGATATATACGTAAAAGATGCATTTAAGGAAAACATAATCACTGCTTTAAGGTGACACACAAAATCAATAACTGCCCCAGTGCTTTATAACTGTGCACTGTGAGTGTTATAAACATTGCAGCATGAGGAAAGAATTTACAGTTTGGTCACAACAAATGGGAATTGTTAAAAAAAGCAATTCCCTCAACAGTCACTGACATAATATTATAATAACAATTTAGTAGTGCAGTTCTTCTAGCTAAGGAGTGTACACTTTGGATTGAACATGTAACAGCTTGTGCCTCCTTGTTTTAGATTAAATTAAATCCCTCCCATCACACAACCCCCAAGACACTATCACAAACCATAGACCATCTTCCGAATTAAAGAAAAAATATGTTGTTTCATGTTCAAATAGTGGAGTATAAATCTTTGAGCAGTACGAAAAAAGGGCGTTTAGGCTTGAGGCAAAGGCCTTCGATAAAAATCGGGAACAAATACAACCAAAACACACAGTAACATATCTGATCAAAACAATAAATAACTCAAACAGGTTTGTACATTTGGTGAAATTTCAGTCACCCTTTTCTTTCCTGTCAAATAAGATGCTTAGCTGTCAGGACAGTGAGGCAGATGTTCCGTTAGTTGTGGTTTTTGGGATCCATCGGCCACGAGTGTCTTGTTAATCTAGAATCAAACACAGAGCATTATTAATAGGGCTCCATTTTACATGAATACAGTCTTAATTCACATGCATTTAGCTAAAAGACGGTGATATCACTATTATTACTGTGCTGTCTGAGAGGTTCATGATCTTCAATTGTAACTTTTAATATAACAGAAAGAAACTCACAACAATCTGAGACCTTAGTATGACTTTCTTGTAAGCGAAGATAAGTGCATCACTCACTGGAAAGCTGCTCCACTTCCATGGCTTTGGACAAACTCATCCCAGAGTTCCGTTTGGGTATTGCCCCCAACTCCTGCCCCTGTCTGGCTGGATTCTGGTTCTCATCCAGAGGTTTCTTCTCCTTCTCCACCTTCTCTGGGTTGTAGTGGCCCCCTTCCTCTGCCACCATCTTCTCCACTCTCTCCATCAAGAACCCCACCTGGGGATGCTCCCCAAATATGCAGTTGTTAATGACAAAGTACCTTCGCTTACACTTTTCCAGCACCTGCTGCAGCTCCTTGCCTTCCCTGCGAATGTACCTCTCGATGGAAATGGTCTTCAACACATCTGCCCAGGTGAAAACCACAATTGTGTGCTCCCACACATGCTCACCAAACAGGTTCACATGCTCCTCAAGGCGAGCACGGTCCACCTCTGTGAACATGCCCACAGGGATGACAAGCAGGAAGGCGTGTGGACCTGGAGGGCAAAGAGTTGCTCCCCTTACTAACTCCTGTTTATAGGAGGGTGGAGTATCCTGAGTGGAGTACCAGCCTGGAGTGTCCACCACAGTCACTTGCCGCCCCTGCACCTCTGTCTGTCTCTTCACACAGAACTCGGCTGCTCGCTCCAAATGAAACTCCTCTTTGCCTATGATGGTGTTTGCAGTCAGACTCTTTCCTGGCCATCTCCAGCCCAGCACCACCAGACGAACTTCAGGTAGGCGGATTGCTGCCTTGGCTGCAGCTGCTGCCCTTTTGGCCTCCTCTTCTGCTCCAGGGCCATCTCCAGCTGTGGTCAATCAATGTATATATTTCAGTATTAGAGCTGCAACTAACGATTATTTTCACTGTCGACTAATCTGTCGATTATTTCTTCTATTAGTCGACTAACCATTTTATCGAAAAATGTGTTAAAATGTTGAAAAATGTCAGTCTGTCTCTCCCAAACCCCAAAATGATGTCATCTAATGTCTTGTTTCGTACTCACGCCAAAGGGCTTTAGTTCACCGTCATGGGAGAGTGTGTAAAGCTGCCAATATCTGAATGTAAGAAGCTGCAATGAGAGTATTTTGGGGTACTTTTATAGTACTTTTCTATGAAAAATGACTCAAACTGATTAGTCGACTAGAATAGTCGATTAGTCATCGATTAGTCGACTAATCGTTGCAGCCCTACTATAGAGTCTGAACAAGAGTTTATACACTAATTATTATCATTTTCGGTATCAAATAACTTGCTGGATATTTTCTCACATCATTGTTTGGTTTTTAACACGTCAAAAATTAATGAAAAATTCACAAAACAATTTCCCAAACCCCAAATTAACATTTTCAAATAGCTTGTTATGTCCAATAGACAGTCCTAAACCCAAAGATACTTTATTTACTATCACAGATCACTCAGACTTCCCATTAGAGAAGCTCATGTGTGTTGTTGCTTTAATAATGGCTTAATCTATGAACTGATCATCATAAATTATAGCCATGACTTTTCTATCATCAACTAACTAATTAATTAAGTGATGTTAATAATTAGTTTACTTTAATGTAATGTTTATTGTAGTTTCAACCCTTTTTTGGCTAATAATATAGTTTCATCTCATCAGTACAAGAAAAATAAAACAGATGTTCAAACATGTAAGGATGGGTGTTCTTGTTGTCTTATATATTGTAAATGTGTATTTAATCTATATATTATGATAATACTCTTCTGAAAACCCAGTTTATTTATTTAGGCACTTCGGATGTCATTCTGCCTTATCCACTTTTCTTAAATATCAAACTTTTATCCGTCTCGTGAGCGGGCAGTGCTACTAATGTGACGTCAACGTTAATATGCAAAAGCAACGAGTTTATCTCTCATCAATTAATCCTAACATCTTTGTTTATTTGTATGAAAATGTAGGAGTAATACGTAGTTAATAACAGTGTAATAACAACACAAACGTTCATTGAATGTTTCTAACTTTCTCTCTCGTGACATGTAACGTGTGAAACGTGTCATATCCCGGTTTAAGGGTTAATGTTTAGCATGCAAACAGTTTGCTAACTTTGGCTAGTTTTAATAGCCAGGGAAACTCCCCATATTTGTACGACGACACGTAAATTAACTTCGGTTGTAGATAATAAAGTTAAAGGCTTACCTGTCGTCCGAAGTGGTTTACTTGCTTCCATGCTCTGTTTTACTCCTTATTGTGGTTTTATTCAGATGTTATTTGTCTTTGGGCGGCTACTGCTCGCTGGACAAGGACTTCCTCCTACCTGCTTACTGTGAAGCAACGACAGAGGCGGTAAACTAACCGGAATATACATGCGTCGCTTCCGGTCTGATCTTTCAAAATAAAAGCCTGATAAGAAAGCCGGATGTCAAATAACGACACAAAAGCTTCACTCTAATATGTAAGTATAGCTTACATATTAGAGTGAAGCTATAATATGTAAGCTATACTTACATATTAGAGTGAAGCTATAATATGTAAGCTGCACTTACATATTAGAGTGAAGCTTTTGTGTCGTTATTTGTAAGTATAGCTTAATATTGTTGTTTTTCCCTCATTTGGTTGAACAAATATGTCCACACAGATGTTACATTATCTAAACGGTTCACACACAGGCCTAAACTTACAGGCTCTGGCCAAAATTACACGTTTCTTTGCAAAATGCTCTCACATTCACAAAACATTAAAAACATGCAACAAAAGTAAATACTTCCATCAGTCAACACATCTTGTGGTCAAATGAATATTACGTAGATCACTCATTACACAATGACCAACAGAATTCAAAATACAGCTACCAGTATAAGCCAGTTCAAACTTTATTTGTTTAATATGCCTGTGCCATTTGTTGATACTTTACATAATTATGGTATGTGCCAAAAAGGCAGACAAGCATATCACAGGGAGTGGTATTCTTTTCTCATAACTGTACTCCAGGTAACATACAGAGGCACTTTGCACCAGCACATACTTTTTTGAGATGCCCTTTTTAAATAGGGTACTGTTAAAAAAAGACACAAAGGAAGTTTTTTTTTATTCTATTACATTCTTTTATTGTGTATTTTTATGTGCCACAGGCCTCTTTGATTTAAACACAGATGTGACATCTTTTATAGATGGATAACAACTGACTGCTGACTGAAAAACTGTGCAAAAGAGTTTCACACAGGTGCATTACAGATTCAAAACTATTAGTTATTTCTGTGAGCTGTGAATAGAGGTTTTCCTTTTCTTTACACAGTTAGTCTACTGGAGTTTTGGGTCTTTCTGTTTTCAAAAAGGGTGTGAAAATGTGTGAAACCAGTGAAAAAATGTTCAGACATTTGTAAGAGAAGACCTCTGCTGTGCTGTGTTCAGTGATGATGAAAATCAAATGGTTCCCAGTTTGATAAAGCATGTCTTAGCAATCCAGTGAAACTGTAAGTTCATTAAAATTTCTTCAAAAAATACAGTATTCACCACTTGTAAATAATATGTAACCATAAAAAGTCCAACATGTGCAGGTATCATTTGTAATCCAAATGAATCTGATAACTTTCAGTGATGGAATACTGCAAGCTGATGTAAATACAGGAATTAGACAAAATGTAGGCGACTGTTTTATTGTTGAATGTTGATAAAGCAATATTTACATCATTATGCATAATCACACTTTATTTACAGCAAATACAGTTAATCATTCTGCTCTGTGTTAAAAACATCACATTCATATCCTATTACATCTTCAATAGGCCTATGAAAGTAGTGCATTCTGTACAGGCTGAATAAGAATGATCAGTGTTGTGAGAGGAAAACAGAAAACGAGAAAAGAAACATGGGCACATAAATCTTGATTCCTTCACTTTAATTTTCTAATTTCTCAATAAATATAAAGTAAATGTAAAGTGGCAAAACAAGCCAATAAGTAAAAAGCTCATTTAAAAAAAATAATGTAATGCTCTTCATTTTCCCTAAAAACCTTCAAAATTAATATAAAAGCTACAAAAGAGAGAGAGTGAGATCTGGCTAAGTCCATTAAGGCTGCCTTATTACACTTAAGTTCCCCATGAAGCCAGCATACGCATGTCGTCATCGTCTTCAACCCTTTTCTTGGTTGCTGTGAAAACAAGAAAAAGTCAAATGCCATCAAATTATTATCAAACATGTATCATGGTCAAAGGCTGCAAGGATCAATTTTGTTATTGATAAAAATAATTTGTTTGTGTCTGCCTGAGCACCTTTGCTGCATGTCGTACCCTGTCACTGTCTCCCATCGTTTCCTGTCACTTCCCCCGTGTCACTATCAAATAAAATTATCCAATAATGTGTTGCACTTACTTGCGCGATGACTGGGCCGTGCTGAAGGCAGTTTGGAACTGGGCACGCTGGGTAGGTCGTCCACACTCTTCATGCTTTCCTCAAGGTCCTCCTGTTCCAGCTCTTCTAGCTCTGCCAGCAGCTCATCCTAAGAAAACACAAAAAGTACAGTGATGCATTCTTGTAAAGCAGGAAATAGTTTAGCAGGTGCAACAAAGAAAGCCTGAAGAAAGAAGACAGTGAATGCTGTAAAAGCGGATTTTGATAGAGGAACTAAAAAGGTATCAACCTCGTCATATGCCTCGCCAAAAGGTCCGGAGATGGCCTCACTGATCTCTCGGGCCACGTCCTGCTGCTCTGTGATATCCTGCATCAGATCGTCTATCTTGTTAATGTCCCTGAAAATGAAGCAAGAGAGAGATTTAAGATTAAACATCACTGTAAACTCAAATCGAAACTTCATCCTTGCCTGAAGGAATTTCTTTAAAACAGCCCCCTAAATTGTATGTTTTTATATTTTTATGCAAATACAAAAATGATGGCCAACAATAAATTGTAAGGCTGCCACTAATGATTATTTCACCGAAAATTGGGATAATGATTATTTCCCCCTTTAATTTATGAATGATTTTGTCTTTTGGTATTAATACTGATAGAAATCCCAAAAGACAACAACCGAATTTGAACATTTTGATCTAATTTTGATGATTTACATTATAGCTTTATGTATATAAATTATTATAATCATTCAAAACAGTAATACAAAATGAACTGTGTCACAATCATGCCAGGGCATAGGGCTTGATGGTGCACTTTCCCAGTAAGAGGATGCAGTTTTAACAAAATCCTGATCCATTTTTCTTTGTTTGTTTGTTTATGAGGCCATGTTCTCACATGTTGTCGTGGACCTTCTTCATAGCCTTGGCAGCGTAGCCCATGTTCTTCAGGACCTCTGTGTTGGTGTGTGAGTTCTCCAAAGCTTCCCTCTGGAACTCGATGGTGGAGAGCGTGCCATCGATCTGCGTGAGCTGCTGCTCCAAGCGCTTCTTCCTCTTCAAGGCCTGCAGGGCAGCTGATATAAAAAACAGATTGTAGAAGTGTGTGACTTTTTGTAAATCTCACACCTTTCTCCTGGTACCTGCTCTTTGGTTGAGAACTTATAGTGCTGGGCGTTCACAAACAAAAGAGATAAGGTTCCTCCCTTTGTAAGGCCATGTTTATTTTTAGTCTAAGGTGATTCAGCCAGCAATGCAGCACCTCAAGGTTTCACATGAGAAACACATTGAAAACTAAAGCAGCAACACTAAAGATGAACTTATAGGTTTAATAAAATGCTGTTCTTTTTGTTTTTATGTTTGTTTGTAGCGTCACTGGTTATAAACCTGTTATACTTGCTGCTACAATCAAAACCAAACTTGCTCACAGGAAGATAGTTAAAAAAACACAAAGCACTGTAGGCCAAATACCTTATGGGGAAGTATGTGTAGCTGTGACGTTAAGGGCCTTATTGTACTTTAAAGTATGTTAAAATATTTAATACTTGTAAAGAGTTGGAATGTGATATATCCTAGTGAAAAGTTTAGAAAACAATTTTAAGCCCTGGAGCACATGATAAAAGTCTGTCAAAGGCAAACAGGTGCACAGATTATTTTCAGGCTAGAAAACAATTCATACCTCGCTTGTTTTTCGTGCCATGCTTCTTGGCTATAGCAAGTTCCTGCTCTATCCTTTTCTCCAGGTAGTCCTGTTTCTTCGTCAACATTTCCTCTGTTTCCCGGAGTTTGTGGATGGCCTCTTGGGGTGAGGGTCCTCCCTTCGACCGGTGGTGTTTGGAGCTCGAGCTCCCCTTGAATAATTTTGCGAAACCGCTCATTTTTTGGCACCTTTTGGTGTAAACTGCGTATGTAGCCAACCTTAAGTGTACACGGGTTCTACCTGGATACCTCACGGAGTTTCTGGAGGCGGGTGTGTTAACGAGCAGATTTTCCAGCTCGACGGCTTTGTGCTTTTTCAGTTCAAACCAGCCAGTGAACGTACCTGTCACCACACCTTTCACCGCCACCACCTGCGTGACGTAATGACACCTGACGCCCTTCCTCCTGTTTTCTCTTGGTTGAAGTCGGCTAATAAACTAATAAACCTGTTTTTGTTTCGTGAAAGGCGTCCAAATATATATAATTACAGCGTCATTAAAAAAAATCAATCATGTCACAAAAATAAAAAGATAAATAAAAATAAATATATCGGAGTAAAACATAAAAAGAAAGAAAAAAAAAACCTCGGTCACGTGGTTTCACTGCCGGGGTCAAAGTTCGTGTTGACATCCGCTCACTAGCTGCTATCTAATGGCTGAATTAGACATTGGAAAGCATTGTCAGATCGATTCCTGTAATCAGAAAGGTCAGTTTATGTTGTGTCGTAACTAGAGCAAAGATATTAACGTGTGATATTATTCTCCTGTGTGTGTTAATATAAAACACACCGAGCGCCTCTTTAGCTTGGTTAGCCAGTGAGCTAGCTAGCTAACTAGCTTTAGCATTACATGACTGTACAGCTTCTCAGTAGCTAGCTGTTAGCTCAACTGTTGGCTAGCAGGCTAACCGCTAACTGAAAGGTTTAAATCAGTGTCGGACACAGTGTTTAATTATCACATAAAATAAATACTTTGTATGTACTACAGTGTATTGATAAAGTGTGTTTTGCTCTTATGTATCAGTAGTCAGTGAAAGTTTCTGCCCAGATTCAAATGAGTCAGCATCACTGTCTATCAGCTGCAGTGTTTGACTTTGGCATCTAAATCTACATCTCAGACGTCAACCATTTATGTTGTTTCCAATACACAGATTTTGACAACAACAACGGTGTGTCTTGTGTTATACAGCTTCTTGTTGTTGAATTCAGCTCACAAACTAACTGAGTTTGTTCTCCACATTCTTCTTTTAGATTTCCTTCCTTTTGTTTGTGATCTCTGTAGCGGTGTTTTCTGGTAAGAATTCATCATCTTCAGGTGGAAAGAAATGTGCAGAGTTAGAGAAAGTATTCAGATCACGTACTCTAAATAACAAAATCGTTATACCATATCATTATTCAAATAAATAATTATTAAATTAAATAAGAATACTTAACTTAAAGACAAAATGACTCTCTTAACATAGAGCACAACTTTTATAGTAACTGAATGTTGCTGGACAGTTTAAGTCCAGCCCGGTCCCTGTTGGTGCAAGTGTGGACTTATAGTGGGAGATGTGCCCTTGAGCAAAGCGCTGAACCCCTAACTGCTTGGAGTGTGATTTATGTGACAGCCCTATCACTTTGCATATCCTTGAAAAATAAGAATTTCCCCATGAGGGATTGATAAAGTGCAAGATAAAGTACTTCTTTATCTTGATCACAAATAGAGATGCACGATACTATCAGCACATCATCGGTATTGGACAATATTAGCTTCAAAATAAACTAGTAGAATCTGCCAACATGCTTTTTCTTATTTTGCACTATGAATGAATATTACATGCACTGAAAAGTATTCTGTTTCATGTCTCCATCTGCTGGTGGGCCACCACGATAAGAGTATGCATGCATAAAATGATGTTAATTCCACCACAGAAGAGGGAAAAAAAATAAAATTAGGTGGGGCCAGAAAAGTGGTTATATCGATATTGGTATTGATTATCAACCAAATAAGTTGTTATATATTGGCATATCGGATATTAGCAATAATATCATGCATCCCTTGTTGCAAAACAGTGATCAAATAGAAGCCATTCTAGATTTTATTTATTGAGTTGAAGATCATAATGATACAAAATAAAAAAAATGAAGGTCATGAAAGAAACAATCTCTTTATCTACATCCTCTTTTCCAACTTATTCCCTAACTTACAGAGAACACATTCTCCACACTTACAAAAAGAAAATATATGTATATGTACCAAACCAAACAACCAAAAAAAATGCAATAAACAGACAGATAAACAAAAATCAGAACCGACAAATCAAAACAGAACAAAAAAAGAATAGAATAAAAAGTAAAGGTTCACAGCATCACAGTTCTCAGAGGTAATCAGGTATGTTGCAGATATTGTGGCATATTGAGCACATAAACCTACACGGAGATGTGTCTAGAGACCTCAGTCCATGCTAGTCCATATATAAGCCATTCTAACTAAAATGTTTCTTAACATTATCTGTGGAAAAAAAGAATCATGTTTGTGGATATATTGTCATCAGTTTCTTTTTAGAAAATATATTGGTATTTGTATAAACATCAAAAGTCCTGTATCAGTCAGGCTTTAGTAATTACAGGTAACAGGTAAAAGCAGTGGCACAAAAGGTACAATATTTTAGTAAAAGTATGAAGTTGCATAGTATAGAAATAGTCATGTACCCTATGTCGTAAGTGATGCTTTTCATGTCAGACCATTCCTCGTTTAATTTTTGATGTTTTATTATTGTCTCTTCCAGCCTTGAGCACAGAAGCAGAGAGGCCCATTCATGTTCAGTGGTACGCTGTGTCCTAATGTCCCTCTTTGATTATATGTACTGTTGTATTATTACATTACTGGAACAATTTTCCCTCTGTTGCATAGTTACTTCGATACTGGCTGGAATGCTTTTATATTTTCTTTTTTTTAGGAGCCAGTGAAAAGGGAGTCTCAGGCTGCGGGTGGCAGTACAAGTTATCCATGCTCATTTCAAGACTGCAGGGGAAAAGAGGTGTTGCCAGTAGTATGTCCACACTGTGAAAAACATTTCTGTTTGGCGTAAGTTTACAGTTTCCTCTCTTTTTCTTTAATTTTTTCAAACGTCATAATTTGTTCCTCCAAGCTTATTTATTTCATACAGAAGCAGTCAAATTAAAGGGGTTACTACATTGCTCTCAATATGTATAATATATTACTATTTCATCAGTGAAACCAGCAAACTGAAACTGAAAGATTCGTATTTCTCTTGTTCTTGCCTTATAGTCATCGTCATCAAGATGATCACAAGTGTGAGAAGTTGGAGGTCCAAAAGCCTCGAATGGCAGCCACAAAGGAGCTGGTGGAAAAGATTGTTGGTTAGTTACAGCATTGCACAGCCACTGTTGCTATCTTGACAGAATTTCTTCTGTGATTCCTTGTTTGTCCACATGGGATCAGTGTTAAACAAACTACTCTCATCTTTGTCATGACTGATGTACACCTGTTTGCATCCCTTAACTTAAATTTTGATTATCTTTGGATTCCTCTCTTGCGATTTCTCAGCGTCAAAGGACGGATCCAAAAGTAAAGGACGCAGAGGAGCAAAGAACAGTGCAACTGCAGCTAAGGTGGCGTTAATGAAACTAAAGCTGCATGCTGCAGGAGACAAGGGGCTGCCACAGGTAAAATCCTATCTGTCTTTATTTTATTTATAAATAAGAGTGTGATATAACTTCCCATATTGGTATTATCTACAGTGTAACCTCTGTGTATCATCCTGTGTTTATTATTTTGTCCAACTTCGTCTCCTTTTTTGGCTTTCCAGACAGAAAGAACCTATTTCCAGGTGTATCTTCCTAAAGAATCCAAAGACTCCAGCCAACCCATGTTCTTCTGTTCCAAATGGAGTGTGGGAAAAGTGGTGGATTACGCAGCCTCTCTAGCTAGCCTCAAGAACAGCAATAATGTACTGACAGCTAAGGTAACACACAGCAGAAGAGTCACTGATAATCTGATCTGCTTCCCCTACCATCAGTCTACTCTCTCGATTCTTAAACTACATTGTCTTTACGTATTCATAATTTCCACCTTCTTAAATAAGATAAAACAGAGGTTAAAAATGTCCTCCATAACTGAGTAAATAGGTGAGCTTTGTGTGCACATATGAAATGCAGCTTTTACCCGCAAGACAGAACTCTGTTTACAGGAAGCTGGGTTAACCAGTATGACAGTGGGGCTGTAAACATCAACGCTAAGTATTGTTCCAGTACATAATGTCTGTGTACTCAAGTTTTTTTTCTTACACTTGCTGATTATAGCAAATACTGTGTGAAGCTTCTCACTGATGCTTCAGTTGTTTTCAAGACAAAATAAAAGAGGTTTTATCTCATAACACAAAGGAATCCCATATTTTACAAATATGAGAGGCTATGTTTTGTATCAAGTGTTATGAATTTGTAAACTTGCATTGAAATATTCTTGGAAAACAAAGCATAGCAGAGTGTATATTTCTTGACTTAGTCTTAAAGGCGTGCCATTCTCGTCTCCATTTGCAGAAGCTGCGGTTATGTCACCCTCAGACAGGTGAAGCTCTCCGGATGGACGACAAGTTGCTCTCGCTGCTGGCTCACCCAGAAACTCCCCTGTACAATGGGGGTAATGTGATCCTGGAGTACCTGGACAATGAGTGCACAGGCCTGGAGGATGTGTCTGACTATATCACACAGACATGACAAATCAATACCAGCTACTGCATGGATGATTTCTGTATGCTATTTGTATTTTCCTCAATAAAATATTGTTTTCAAATATTTGAATTTGTAAGTGGTAGATTGCATTATGAAAAAATGGAGTTGCATGGTCAAAAGTAGTCATGGAGCATCTTTATGAATGTATCATGCAAGGTACTGACTGAGTATTTCTTGCATTTGAATGAAGATGCCACATATTAATTTCGTCATCACGACCCAGGTGGGACTTGAACCCACAATCCCCAGCTCCGGAGGCTGATGCCTTATCCATTAGGCCACTGGGCCGATATCATATATTTAATTATACTGTTTATTTCACTTAGAGCAAGCAGTCGGGCGATCATAGGAGGGAGTGATGACAGTTTCCATTCGGGCTCAATCTGCTATTCCTTTTTTATGGAGGTCATTATGCAGTGCTGCATGCTGGAGACTATATTCAGTGTTCAATAAAATCAGTCAACAAATTTGGTGTAATTTAGTGCAGTGCAGGGTGTTTTACATCAAAAGCAAGAAATACAATTGGGCAAAAGTCAGGAAGAAGGCAAAGTGGAAGAAATCTCAAAACCTACACAAATAAATTCCAAAGAATGGGTGTGCAAAGACAATATTGGACCACTGATCTGAAGAAAATAGATCCAGAGTAAGTCAGTGACTATTTAAAATGTGTTTTTTATGAAAAGGAAGACGGAGAATATATGCATTTATACGTATTTATGTGTATTTTGATGGTTCTAAGTGACTGTGATAAATCCAAAACAGATATGAGTTGAATAGTGAACATAAATATCTTAAACGCAAGCAAAACAACTCTGATTGTTCAGTTTCTGTTCCAGCAGCTGCGTTGCGATAAGCAGACAAGACATTTGACACAGATCTGGCCTGGGAATTGACCAAGCAAGATTTAACCAATCACGTTAGTTGTCATTTAAACGAATAGCTCAAACAGCCAATGACGTGAGGGCTTTAGTAAAGGTGGGCGTGTGCGTATCTCAGCGTATATAATAGAAAAGGGGCTGGGTCTCTACACAGTGGATTCCGTTGTTTTGATGAGAATAGATGTGTCTCTAAGGTAGTCGACGATTTGCAGAAAACTTGACCCGTTTCGGTCAATTATTCCGCTCGGTAGCTCGTTAGTTGCTACTCTTCTGATCAAGTCGCTTAGAAAAAAGCGACTTGATTTAGCTAATACGAGCCTCTTTGTGAAATCAGGTCGAAAGGGATGCCGCTGCAGACAGACTCCGACGGACGCCAACAGTCTTTGGATTTAATCTCATCGCATTTAATCGGGAAGAGCAGCTTTTCTATAAATTTAAAAAGCCTCAGAATAACACATTCTCGACCGAGTGCTTTTGTAAGATGCTTAAGCTCGAGTGCGAATTAATAGCGCGGCTGTGAAGCGAAGACAGGAGCGTCAATAATACAGCGAAGCTAGCCGTTAGCTAACGTTAGCTGGCCATCAACAAAGCGGGGATCGTTAATCTTTTGCGTCACAGAGTAACCAGTTAGGTTAAGAAGACGAGCGTCTGCGGCTTGGTTTTAAAACCTGTTGTTTTCTGCCTGTGCTGAAAATATTGCTCGGTGAGTAAATTGGGTCATTATGTCGATTTACTGAACCAGGAAGACGATTTGTCAACTTCGACTGAACAGAGTGGGGGAGGGGCAGTGGTTTACAGAAAGAGGAAATAGTGTTTTGATCTAAAAAAATTGACCTCGCGGGGCGCTGTAGCTCCGCCATGCTAATTATTTATACTGTCAACTATTGTTTTCCTCACACTTTTCTAGAAATGTGTTTATTTACTGACCTCATTAGATTGGTATGGCTCTGGACATGGTAACCGTTACCATGGTACCGTTACAAGTAGCTTTAAGTAGTAGGTAGACAGTAGACAGCTAAATACACAGAGTCAAAGTGTTCTATGTCTTAATATGACTTTTGACTGACATTGACTTTATGCTGCTTTTTTTTTTTTTTAACAGACAGCAATGAAACTATTGGAAAGCTCCAGCTTTGAAGCCCTCAGCTCCCGGCTGTGTGTTGAAACAGGAGAGTCTCGCATCCTTGGCAGGTAAGAGTCACAGGCTTTCTATTGCAACATGAGCAACTGAGTGTGTACTGTCACGTATATACTGTTACACAAGGGCAGACTTAATGAATTGGGTCTTTACAGACTTTTTTTGGCGCTATTATTTTCCAAAGACAAGCTGCGCCCCCCCCCCCCCCCCCCCCCCCCCCCCCCCCCCCCCCCCCCCCCCCCCCCCCCCCCCCCCCCCAGTCCTCAGTGGGTACATGCACAGGTCACCTTTCCAGGTGTGTGTGCAGATGGCATTACTGCTTCTATTTCTGTAATGCAGACCTAGCAGCTCACCACAAACATCATAATCATGTTTATACCAAAGTAGGAGCCACTGGAGTCAACTTTGGCTCAAGTTTTCCTTATATAGGAAATTTCCTGGCTGGTATGATGTCAATAAACGAGGAGTGTATGAGAGGTGTGGCTTGTTCAGAGATCACTGACTCTCCTCATAAATGGGGGCAGTAGAACAAACAAGTACCTGCACGTTATGCAACATTGTGATAACAGACTGCCGACCTACCAGGCAGGTTCAGAGCCTATAGTGAAAGTTAATAGCTAACTGAAAGTGCATGTTTTTGCGTTTGCAAAGTGTAAAAACACTACAGTGTGTTTTAGGTTATGTAAGGCCGACAGCAGGTTTGCAGTGACAGTGTAGTTACATAAAGGGCAGTGGGTTGTGGAGCTATGCAGCCCAGACTGAGTGCAGGGTTTTGAGTGTGGGTGGTGAAAGCGAGCCTCTGTAACTGGTTGTGACCTGGAGTGACGCACAACATGGTGTCCTTTCACACCACTCTGTGGCTATTTTGGAGACAGTTGTGAAGAGTGTTATTGGGGCGCATGGGCATGCACACATAAACACATGCAATAATACTGCACGATAGCTGAGTGCTGCTGAAGCTGCCAAGACTGCTGGTGTTTAGGCTGCTTAGTGGATTAGTGAGGCAGCCCATCATAGCAGCAGGACTTGAAAGCTGCAGGCTTTAACTAAAAATGTACCCACCAGGCTTCCAGCAGATTTATTATATTCTTCTGCAGATGGGCTTTTGATTTTAGCACGTGGATAATGAATTAAACAACACAAAACTGGAATAATATACGGCACCAGAAAAAAAAGTGCACAGTGCTTCTCAAAATACTTAAATCTAGAATTAAAACAACACAGCTGGTGCGCTGTGCAAAGGTCATTTGTTTGGTGCTAAAAAGTCACCAAAGTAATGTTATCATAAACAGAACATAAATAGCTAGTCCTGTAATAACTAGATACATTAAAACACAAATGCATATGCAAGCAAGCTGCTGTGTGCATTATGTACTAATGTTAACAGCTTGTTGCAGTTGTGGCATTTTTAAATAACCTTGTAGTGTTGATAATCTTCTCTCAGCTCCGGTGTCTGCTCACAGTGTTTTGTTGGCGGGTCAGCTGTGTTGTGTATGGAAAACCAGGGCAGTTATTTCCACTGTGGTATTCGCTCCCACCCAGGGTCCCTATATTTAGGCTGGCAAGGCCAGAGAGGGTCTCAGTACAAGTCTGTCTTAAGTTGCACAACCTTTGCTCTTGCATAACCCACAGGTGGGAGGAGGCAAAATAAACAACTGCACAGCAGTCTACTCCACTCGCATATCTGTATACAGTGGCGTCTGACCCAGAAACATGAAAGCGCAAGCAGGAAATTTTTATCGCTGACATGTTCTTGTCAGGTGTTTGTGCAGATATGGCTCTGAGTGGAAAGACTGGGGGCTATTTTGTCATACAGAGTTACAGGTTAAAGCGCTCTTGTCTGTGAGAATCCTTTTAATAATTTCAATACCATACAATACCTGATTTGATACTTGTAATTTCCCCAAAATAATAAAGCTGCAGAGAGTGCACATATAGCCAAACTTAATGTGATGTAATAAGTTAAATCCAGTGTGTTTTAAGTTTTTTAAGTTTTATAAGTTTAAATTTGAAATCTTTAATCTGACTCTTTCTCCTTGACTGCTGTAACACTGGAACTTCTCAATTATGGGATCAATAAAGGTGTATCATATCTTCTCTTATCTTAAAGAGCTGAATTGCACCAGAATAAAGAAACAGTCCGCCGGACTGCCTGGTTTCTGTAATATTTTATATAATAACCTTTAGTATTTATTTTTACTTGTTCATAGTGTCTCTGGATAGAGAGGTAAATTTGGTCAACTGTCAGAAATGGATCAGGCTTTCTGTGTCTAAAGAAATCCATTGTAATACCCAGATGTGTCCCTGATATGTAATTGTGTTTAAGCCTAATGGGCTATTAGAATAATCTTAAGGGATTTAGCAAACATTTTCCCTCATCTGAAATCTCTGCCATTATGTTAACAGCACAATATTCATGTAGCACATGAATATTGGTCGCACAGTATTAAATATTTATCTATGTTGTTTTTGCCCTGCAGGATGGAGAGCTACTCCTGCAAGATGGCAGGGGATGATAAACATATGTTCAAGCAGTTCTGCCAGGAGGGGGAGCCACATGTCCTGGAGGCCCTCTCTCCCCCTCAGTCCACCAGTGCCACCAGCCCTTCACAGTGAGTACTGCAGTCCACAGTTATAGAGCAGAGCGGTTTCTTTTTAGAACACTCATCAATGACTCTGGCACTATTACACTTCATCAGTATTAAGAAAAGATGATTTAGGATTTACGCATTTAATCTTCCGCTTTGTTTTCTGTGCAGGCTGGGGAAGAGCAGTGAAGACGGGGAGAACCCCCTGAGTGACAAGTGTTGCAGGAAGACTCTTTTCTACCTCATCACCACGCTCAACGAGTCTTTTCGGCCGGACTATGACTTCAGCGCCGCACGGGCCCATGAGTTCAGCCGAGAGCCCAGCCTCAACTGGGTTAGTATGCTGCTCTGTAGCCGAATCTACCTTCTAAAGCACAGCAGATAAATTTAATGTCACAGATATGTTCAACATAACATAGAAAAGACAGGCTTTGTTAAATAGTTATGTGACTGTGACCTCTCTGCAGGTGGCTAATGCAGTAAACAGCAGCCTGTATTCAGCTGTGGGAGAGGAGTTCAACTCTCTGGGGCCGGAGCTGTGGAACGCCATCGACCAAGAGATCAACCTGCAAGGCTGTGACATATACAGGTAGGTGTTTCTGTGTGTGTATACAAACATGCATGTGTGTATTATAAAGCAGATCATTTATACTGCAAAATAGTCTTTTGTTGTTGAGTTCAGCGATATTTAAGCTTGATATCTTTTATTTTGGGTCTTAGCTACAACCCTGATCTGGACTCAGACCCTTTTGGTGAAGAGGGCAGCCTCTGGTCCTTCAACTACTTCTTCTACAACAAGAAACTCAAGAGGATTGTATTCTTCACATGTCGCTCTGTCAGGTCAGCAGCCGACACACGCTCATCAGTGTAGCACCACACATTAGAAAAATGTAATAAATATATGATCCAAAAGATGAGAGACAAAACGAATTTACTAAAAGTTGTGCATACATCTGATTGTGTACAAATCTTTCTGACCTGCAGCGTCCTGAGTGGCTATGGCCGTGACTCTCTTGACAATGAGCTGGACATGGAGCTGGATGACGAGGAGGAGATGGACGGCTTCACTGAGGACAGGTCAGACTATTATTTATTATGATTTACAATGTTAAAGGGATTGGATTTGGCTTCTTTAAAAGTGTGAATATAAAGGATGCAGGAGGCGTTTCGTTAGTATTGTTGCAGATTTCTCGTGCTAATGAAGTCCTTCTGTGATGGAAGACACATTTAATTAATATGCATTTCTATTCTTTTCCTCTCCCAGGTTCCCCAGAGCCTTGTGCGTGTGAGTTTTCCTGACGGACACACCTCGGCCAAGGAATATCTAGGCTTTTCCTCGTCTCCTTCCATTTTTCACACCATGTACCCTCTTTTTGTTTTGGGTTTTTGTGGGGGGGGGGGGAGTGTTGCTGCCTCATCCAAAGCCATTTTCACGCTTTAGACTTATGCATGTTTGAAGCCCTCTCCTCTGCTGGCAGTGAACTGTGTACCGTGAGATGGTGGACATTTTTAAAAGGCCCCACGGTAAATTCAAAGCTCCTTTTTTCTTCAGTGTGGGTTTGACCCCAAGCTCCAAGCCACAACAGCACACTTGTATACACACACACATAATTTTGGCTTCTCTACACCTGCCACATTTCCAGAGACCCCTTCATGGACGCTTGAGAAGAAGAAGGTCTTGTGATGGATGAGTGGCCAACAAAGACTGCGAAGGAATTGAGTTTCTTGCAAATGATGTCAAAAAAGAGGAGTTCGGAAAACACCAGCATCAGTGATAACTGACAGATTAACACGTGATGATATTCCTACCTGGGAAGGGGCTGGGTCCACGAAAACCCAGTTAAGACTGACTTACTGACCAGCTCGAAACTCATCAGTTGTTCCATTATTTGCTCTTTTTGTGTGTTGCTTTTTATGTGTGACAGTGACGTTACTGTGAGGACTTTTTCAGCACTGAGTTTGACATTTAAAAACGCTGCATTTATAACTGAAACTTGTATCATTGAAACTGCAAACGCTCGTCTCTACTTGAGGCAGTAGGGCACAGCCAAGGAAACGATTGGCACCTGGGTTGCAGCTTAGAGAACATATCAGCTTTTAACAAATGTCCCCTTGTTTTGTTTCACTCCACTTTTATCCAGCTTCATGGTTCATTTTATACGTTGTCTAAATCCAATATTTTTTCACTCTTGCCCTAACCTGGTTTATTCCTGGTTAACTTGTTTCTAAATGTTTGTCTTGTCAGTGTTTTCTTTGCTCATTACCTCAGTGCAGAGGCTTCATTGAAAAGTGAATGTATAGTACCATTTAGAGGAAAGCATTACAGTGAAATGGCTGATACCTTGTACATTATTTTTTAGAAATTGAGAAGCTCCTTTTACTTTCCTTACAAGTGGTTAGGAGTTGTGTCTTTTCTTGACTGCTCTGTGCTTCATTTGGCCGATATATTGCAGATGTGAATAAACTGGTGTTTGAATCACACTGAACTTGGTTCTTGTCTTTAAAAACACTAAACAATCACTAAAATCATAATGTTGGCTTTTTCTTTTTTTGGTGGAAAATTGATGGTGGAAAGGGAACACTTTGGCTCAAGCTTAGAAATATTCGTCTAGTATTCCTTTGACTTTGATCTCACCATTTTCACCAAAGATGAACATTCAGGCTCATTGTTCAGGGCGTACCAATGATGTTTTATACCTTTTTCAGGGAAGGTTACAGTGTATTTCAGGGCATAGTAAACTGCAGTTTTATGACATACTAAAATTTCATATTTTCAGGGCATACTATACTATGACTTTTTATGACATACTACACTATGACATTTTTATGACTTTTTTCATGGCATACTATCCTTTGATGTTTGGCATACTATACAATGATGTTTTAATGACTGGCGTACTATACTATGACGTTTTAATGACTTAATGGCATACTATACTATGACGTTTTAATGACTTAATGGCATACTATACTATGACGTTTTTTGACATTTTATGGCGTACTATATTATGATGTTTTTTGACATTTTATGGCGTACTATACTATGATGTTTTAATGACTATGGCGTACTATACTATGGCATTTTTCGACATACTAGACTATGCCGTTTTTTACTTTTTTCGACATACTATACTGTGACTTTTTTGACTTTGTCCGACATACTATACTATGAGTTTTTTCAACATACTATATTATGACTTTTTTTCGACATAGTATACTATGACGTTTTTAAGACTTTTTCATGGCATATATATACTATGATGTTTTTCCAGCTTTTTTATGGCATACTACACTATGACATTTTTACGACTTTTTTTATGGCATACTATCCTTTGATGTTTTATGACATTTTTTTATAGCATACTTTACTATGACATTTTAATGACTGTATGGCGTACTATACAATGACGTTTTCTGACATTTTATGGCGTACTATACTATGGCATTTTTATGACATACTATACCATGACTTTTCTGACATACTAGACTGTGACCTTTTCGATATACTATACTGTGCTGTTTTTTTTTTACTTTTTTCAACATACTATCCTGTGACTTTTTTTGACTTTTTCCGACATACTATACTATGAGTTTTTTCAACATACTATATTATGACTTTTTATGGCATACTATACTATGATATTTTCATGACTTACTATACTATGACTTTTTGACTTTTGAGGACATACTATAAAATGACATTTTATGACTTTTTTTATGGCATACTATAAAATGACATTTATGACTTTTTTTATGGCATATTATACTATGACATTTTTATGACTTTTTTTATGGCATGCTATACTACAGTATGACGTTTTTCTGACTTTTTTTTACATACTATACCATGACTTTTTTGGACATACTATACAATGACTTTTTTCGACATACCGTACAATGACATTATTATGACTTTTTTGACATACTATACTGTGACTTTTTTTACTTTTTTCAACATACTATACTATGACTTTTTTAGGACTTCTTTAGCCATATGATACTGACTTTTTATGACTTTTTTTTGACACACTATACTGTGATATTTTTTACATACTATACTATGACGTTTTTATGACTTTTTTTTTTTTACATACTATACCATAAGTTTTTTCCGACATACCATACTATGACATTATTATGACTTTTTCAACATACTATACTATGACTTTTTCATGACATACTACACTATGACATTTTTATGACATACTACACTATAATGTTTATGACTTTTTATGGCAAACTACACTATGAGGTTTAATGGCTTTTTTTGTGGCATACTATACTATGACGTTTTTATGACTTTATTGACAACTATACTATGACTTTTTTCAATATGCTATACTATGACATTTTTATGACTTTTTTCGAAATACTATACTATGACAGTTTTATGACTTTTGACATACTATACTATACGGTTTTATGGCTTTTTTCAAAATGTTATACTATGATGGTTTTGACTTTTTTGACATACTATCCTATGACATTTTATGAATTTTTGTCTGACATGCTATACTATGACTTTTTTTTTTTTACTTTTTTGACATACCATACTATGACATTATTATGACTTTTTTCGACATATTATACTATGAATTTTTCCGACACACTATACTATGACTTTTTTATGACATACTATACTACAACGTTTATGACTTTTTATGGCATACTATACTATGAGGTTTAATGGCTTTTTTATGACATACTATACTATGTTGTTTTTTGACTTTTTATGGCATACTAAACTATGACGTTTTTATGACTTTATTGACACACTATACTATGACTTTTTTCGACATGCCATACAATGACTGTTTAATGACTTTTTTTTCGACACTATACTATGACGTTTTTCAACATGCTATACTCTGACATTTTTATGACTTTTTTTCGACATGCTATACTATGACTTTTTTTTAAACTTTTTTCGAAATACTATACTATGACGGTTTTATGACTTTTTTGACATATTATACTATGATTTTTTTCAACATACTATACTATGACTTTTTAGGACTTCTTTCGCCATACTATACTGACGTTTTTATGACTTTTTTTTTACATACTATACTATGACTTTTTTTGACATACCATACTATGGCATTATTATGAATTTTTCGACATACTATACTATGACTTTTTCATGACATACTATACTATACGATAACGTTTATGGCTTTTTTTGACATATTATACTATGAGGTTTAATGGCTTTTTTATGGCATACTATACTATGACTTTTTTATGACTTTTTCCACATACTATACTGTGACCTTTTTAGGACTTCTTTAGTTATACTATACTGACTTTTCATGACTTTTTTTTCGACACACTATACTTTGATATTTTTTACATGACATTTTTTTTACATACTATACCATGAGTTTTTGTGACATACCGTATTATGACATTATTATGACTTTTCGACATTCTATACTATGACTTTTTCATGACAAACTACACTATGACATTTTTATGACATACTATACCATAACGTTTATGACTTTTTATGGCATACTATACTATAATTTTTTAATGACATATGACTTTTTTCGACATACTATAGTATGACTTTTTTAAACAGATTATACTATGACTTTTTTTCGACATACTATACTATGACTTTTTTGACATACTATACTTTTGTTTTACTCTTTTCAACATACAATACTATGACTGTTTTTTTACATACTATACTCTGACTGTTTTTTTTTTGTCATACTACACTATGATTATTTTTTTTTACTTTTTTTGGCATACTATACTATGATGTTTTTACGACTTTTTTGACACAGTATATTATGAATTTTTTCAACATACTACCCTATGATGTTTTTTTTACTTTTTATGGCATACTATACTATGATGTTTTTATGACTTTTTTGACACACTATATTATGACTTTTTTCATCATACTATACTATGACTTGTTTTTTTTGACATACTATAGTATGACTTTTTTTCGACATATTATACTATGACTTTTTTTCGACATACTATACTATGACTTTTTTAAACTTTTTTCGACATGCTATACTATGACTTTTTTCGAAATACTTTATTATAACATTTGAATGACTTTTTTCAACATACAATACTATGATTTTTTTTTTATTTTTTCGACATACTATACTATGACTTTTTTAACCAGATTATACTATAACTTTTTTTCGACATACTATACTATGACTTTTTTGACATGCTATACTTTTTTTTGACTTTTTCGACATGCTATACTGAGGTTTTTTTTTCTGACATACTATGCTATGACGTTTTTTTTTTACATATTATACTTTTTTTTAAAAAATTTTTTGGCTTTTTTTCAACATACTATACTATGACTTTTTTGACATACTATACTATGACTCTTTTCAACATACAATGACTGTTGTTTGACATATTATACTATGACCTTTTTTCAACATATTATACTATGACATTTTTGACTTTTTTCAATAAACTACACTATGATTTTTTTATTGCTGTTTTCGCTGTACTATACTGATGTTTTATGACTTTTGACATAACTACATCAAATCAATACAGTGCAGTTTCCAAAAGATGAGAGGCAGGACTAATCCACCCAAAAGCTTTGCTTACATCTGATTGTATACATTGTGTGTTCTTCATACCTGCAGTGTCCTGAGTGGGTATGGCCATGAGCTAAACATGGAGCTGGATGACAAGGAGGAAATGGACGGCTTCACTCAGGACACGTGTACCTTTTTGTTTTGTTATTTTGGGAATAAACTGCCTCACCCAAAGCCATTTTCACGCTTTGTCTTGTCAGTGTTTTCTTTGCTCATTACTTCAGTGCAGAGGCTTCACTGAAAAGTGAATGTATAGTACCATTTAGAGGAAAACATTACAGTGAAATGGCTATGTTGTACATTATTTTTTAGAAATTGAGAAGCTCCTTTTACTTTCCTTACAAATGGATATATTGCAGAAGTGAATATATTAGTGTTTGAATCACACTTAGCTTGGTTCTTGTTTAAAAAACAAATCACTAAAATCACCTTGTTGGCTTTGTTTTGTGGATAAATGATGGTGGAAAGTAAACACTTTGGCCCAAGCTTAAATGTACATGTCTGATATTCCTTTAACTCCTATCTAGAATTGTGTTCACATGTATTTAGAAAAAAGACAAACATCTATTCAGGCTCAAAGTTCAAAACAAACTTTTATTGAAAATAAAACTGATACAGTACATGACCCAGACCGGACATCACCACACCAACAGTATAAGATCAGTTCTCTTGCTTTGAGATCAAGGCAAAAGCTGTAAACCTTAATGCTGCAAGGAGTCTGGGGGCTGCACAGTTCACCCTTTTTCCTCTTAGTGTAAAAATACCTTGTCCCACAACAGACTCTAGAGACCCAGAGGCACCCCCTGACCAAGATGGACACCAGTACTTCATCACTGTTTGAATTCAGACTCAATGAAACTCATGCACCTCCTCCTTTTTGGCCACTGTGGACCTTGCAAAAGGTAGACATGGTTTCAAAGTGACACGTGCATAGATCTGTTCAAGGATTCTTATACCAGGTGAAAGAGGGAAACAGGTAAAAAAAAAAAATCATGGGTAGACTGTCAGATTCATACACAAATGGTCCTTCAAACACACAACAGCATGATTAAGGCTGAGGATCAAGTATTGTAACTGTATGATGAGATGGCCAGAATATTAAGATCATCTTTCTGCTACTGAACCTTAAAGTCCAGGATGGTTGATAAGTAACAACTTCTCCATGACTGTGTGGCACCTTTTGATGGTGGCTCATTGTGATCCCTTTCATTATAAAGTACAAAATGTTTAAAGTGGAATATGCGCCAAAATGGCTGCAGAAAATTAAATGTTTACATGAGGATGCAGTGGATCAGTCACACACCTGCAGAGCACCAATGATCATTTGTTAATACAAAACAGGTCTAGATGCTAACAAGCCACAAGCACACCTGCACTCCCTATAAAAGCACAAATAAAATGAATAAAATTAAATAAAGATCATAATGCATCATTAACAAATCGTAGTGTTTAAATCAAAAATACTGTTATTAAAATTAAACGTACTTGCACTTGTTTCAGCCATTTAATGCTTTGCAAAATTAAATAAACGGCTTAAGTAATGTGTAGATTGAAGAAAATATTTGCATGCCGACACAAGTACAGGCTCAAAGTTTATAATGAAGGGAGATATACGTTTGACCACATTTCATTAACGGTACCAATAAGTTCTAATGTGAAAATAACCACCAACAGTGTAGCTTATGAAACTGAAATCATGTGTAACAGATATTATTGGCTGTGCTGAAAACAATAACGGAAATAAAACATGAGAACATTATTCTGAGAAACTCCCTGGTGCCACCTTTCCCCATCAGAACTGGTTTTACAATACTGCTTGTAATCCCTTTGTTTGTCCTGCCATTATTTTCCTGAACATGAACAAACTTACAAAGAGGCAAAAAGAAAATAAAAAATAATAGAGCTGCACCGCTGTGATGTTTATGGCATACTCTTGATATGATATGGTGTGGTGTAACATGATATGTAGTGTAAATTATGTCCAGTGCAGCCCTGCTTTACACTTGAACATACTCGTAACTTACTGAAATGATCCTCTTCTCCTTTACTTTAAAAGTGACTTCCTGTTCCAGATAACCAGGTCAGTTTATCACTCCTGGCCACGTTTCTACTGACTGGGAGAATACCAGTTTCCACTGTAACAGTTAAGCTGTGGAAGGTGCTCCTCCTTCCTGTGCCATCTCCAGAGGTCAAAGTCCAAGTTTGTCATTAAAAAAATAAAAAGTAACAATAAGCCAGTAAGGACAAGCTGTTGTTGCCACCAGGTAGGTGGTGCAGGTAGTCAGGCCATCGACGGCTGAGGGACGGGCTATCTGAGTCCAGCTCTGGAGGTCATCCACTCAAGGCCTTGACATAAACTGGAAGAATGAAAAAGATGTGTCAGTGGAAGAAGAATGTACATACTTAAGACAGAAAGTAGAAAATAAGTTGATTCAGAAAGTAAAGAGTTAGTACATACTTTGGACAGAAAGAAGGAAGAAAGTTCATTCAGAAAGTAGGAAGTATATATATATAAGACAGAAAGTAGGAAGTAAGTACATACTTTATACAGAAAGTACATACTTAAGACAGTAAGTATGAAGAACGTACATACAGAAAGTAGAAATAAAGTATATACTTTACACAGAAAAGAAGAAGTATGTACATACAGAAAGTGTACATACAGAAAGTAGAACGTAAGTATACTTAGGACAGAAAGTAGGAAATAAGTTTATTCAGAAAGTAAAAAGTACATACTTAAGACAGAAAGTAGGAAGTATGTGAATACTTAAGACAGAAAGTATGAAGAAAGTACATACAGAAAGTAGAAAGTAAGTACATACTTAAGAGAGAAAGTAGGAAGTAAGTACATACTTTAGAAAGTACATACTTAAGACAGAAAGTATGAAGTACATACAGAAAGTAGAAAGTAAGTACACACTTAAGACAGAAAGTATATACTTTAGATAGCAAGTCGGAAGTATATAAAAACTTAAGACAGAAAATACATACTATGGTTAGTAAGTAGGAAAAAATGGACATACTTGAGACAGAAAGTACATACTTTAGACAGGAAGTAGAAGGAAAGAACATACTTTAGATAAAATGTAAGAAGTAAGTACATACTGTAGACAGAAGGTAGGAAGACTGTACAAACATTAGACAGAAAGTAGGAAGAATGCACATACTCAAGACAGAGTAGGAAGAAAATTCATACTTTAGATAGAAAGTATGAAGTATGTACATAAGCTAGACAGAAAGCAGGAAGAATGTTCATACTTAAAAGTAAGTAGGAAGAGTGTTCACACTTTCCTGACAGGAAGTAGGAAGAATGTTCATACTTTAGACAGGAAGTGGGAAATATGTTCATACTTTAGACAGGAAGTGGGAAGAATGTATGTACTTAAGACAGAGAGCGAACACTCTCGACAGAAAGTAAGAATAATGTTTGTACTTTAGACAGAAGGTAGGGCTGCACAATATATCATTTTATAATCATCTATGTCAACTTGCGCAAAAAACACATCATAAAGGCTGTGTTATTGCCACCAGGATTTCTTTTGAGTCAGTTGAAACAGAGTACCAGCAGAAAGTAATATCATTATCATAATATTCAACATATCACGTCTTCTCCTCATATTGTACAGCCCTAACAGAAGGCATATTTCAAGGATGTTTTAATGTACTTAACACTTGGCTGTTTCTCCCCTGGCTGCACAAAATGTTTACAACATACTAGTGCTGAGCAGATAAAGCTCAGTGAGACGTTCCTCCTGTTTGTGCTGAGATAAGACGCTTCAGGGCTTTAATGTCAGCACACACACTGACCTCTGGTGGTTGGCAGTAGTTATAGCAGCCCTTAAAGACTGGTGTTAACACCTAGTCTCCATCTCTAAAGTGTGAAATAAATCTCCAAGACGCCTACATATTAAATCTGTTATATCTTTGTTCACAAGAGCTGCAATATGCTGCAGTAAAATGACATTTAAATGCCTTGTCCACAATGTTTTTTTGATACAAAATATTAATGTACCTTTTAGTGTGGTGCAGGACCAGAGTGCAGATGTGTTTTAGCTTTGTGGTTGATATCTGTGTGACAATTTATATGAATTGCAACATTATGTGATGCAATCAAGAAATATATTTATAAAACATTACATTCATAACCCTTATATTAGGTAAAAGATGGCATTATGTCCATATTTATGATTATATCTCTAAATAACTCTCCTTTCCTCTTATTCTATTTATGTATACAAACAATTTATTGAAACCAGTGTTGGCTCTTTCACAAACTGGAAACAAATCCAAGTTTGCACAAAGAAATATCTTGCTGATGCACATTATCCTGTGACAAACCATCTGTCTACATCTTTTAAATCAATAAATTTGTCCCAGTTTTTCTGTTGTCATGTAAAGGAAACATGGTATTGATTATATAGGAATGGTGAATGGAGCCTCGTGAAGCTTTGGAGCTTTCTGTTTGTGCTGAAGAAGATTTGAAGCTTTGGGCCTTCACACACAGCAAACACAGTGACACCTGGTGGTTTGCAGATGTACAGCAGCCCTTCAACATGGGCCAACGTGTCTGATTTTAATAGCTTTGGCCTCATGTGTGCAATAAAAGCTCACGAAGCCTGTGCCTTATTATTAAATATGTAAAAGTTTTAAAGTGATGCCTTAAATGTAGATGGTATTGTGGAGTGCGTCACAGTGAAATAATTAGGTACTGATTATCCAAAAAACCTACATATGAAACTTTTTTTTTTTGACACAAAGCCTTAATGTACCTGATTGCCTTTTCAGACTTTTTAAGAGGGTTTTAGGACTTTTGCAGGGCTCCTGTTAAACAGTGCACTTCACAAGAGTGAAACAAGTTCTGGAGCGTCTGTATCATACACCCATCTCTACAGTTATAATAAGATCAGTTTAAAACATCTATATAGTACTAAGTATAAGGGCTCATTTATGCTCAACGTTAGATACGGAGACAGAAGAGGCCTTCAGTCTGTACTCTGTGTTCGTGTTCTGAAAGCTGACGGATATGTACAAAAGGAAGCAGTACCACCAGAGATCGTGAAGAGAATGTAGCGTAGTTAAAGCAAGATTCAACCATAGGAGACGACAAAGAAATATCAATAATGGCAGAACTGAACAAATGGGTGATATACAATAATATAGAGGGAAGTTTGTGAAAACAATTATCCATTCACTACTTGTTGGGATGTATACAATGACTGCACAGATCACAGCCATCTACAAAGCTACAAAGCGACCTCCTCCACCATCACCTCATTTGTTGCGAGGTTGAACTTTTGACTCTTTACATAAATCGAGTATAAATAAGGCCGTAACTCTAGGTCTGTTTGCCAGATGAACAGGATCTTGATGGAATTTCATCACTGTCTAATCACTGACTTAGTTAGTAAGCATCAAGATATATCTCTTACCCCTCTCCTGTAAGTGCACAGCAGGACTGTATGTGCCAGGGGTGGTCTTTAATGGAGCTCAGGGTGAGGTATTTGGAGATCTCCGCTGCAGACATACAGTCCTTCATATCCTGCTTATTGGCAAATATCAACACAGCTGCTTTCCGCAGGTCCTGAGGGGAAACAGTACAGAGAACAATGAGACCATAACCCACTCTCTGCCACCATCTGAAGCTCTAAACAATGTAGCAGGGTGGAAGGTGGAAAATCACAGTCCATTATAAAAACAAAGTGTGTGTGTAGACTATTTCCTCACAAAGATGTGTTAAGATGGGCGTTTTACCTCATGAGCCAACATCCTGTAGAGCTCCTCTTTAGAGATGGCCAGCCTCTCTCTGTCTGTGCTGTCCACCACCAGGATGATGAACTGCAGAGTCGGAGGCAAAAATCACACTGACTGACCTCTTTTCAAAAAGACATTTACAGCAGTGAAATGCGACACAGCGGGTGGGCATTTCCGGGCCAAGGGCCTCACAATGGGTATTGGTGACTGCTTTGCTAATAAGCCCTGTTTGAATGCGAGAGACAGTGACCCCGTATGACAAAAGACCAAAGGCACGTTAATGGTGGTGTGAGGGAGACGCCATTTAAACCAAACGACCCAGGAAAAAGTTTCAACAGCACGCGTTATCCAACATGACTGTGACCCAAATCACAGCCGGGGATCTACACGAGTCTGACACTGCTTAACTGTGGAATGAATGAGTGACGTTACCATAGTAACTGCAGGGTTACTACAATATATGGTTTCTATAGTAACCTTAGGGCTCCTAATAACTCTATTGTGACAGATATTTAGTGCTTCTCTGCCATAAATCTGAGCTTCTTCACTGCTCTTTATAAGATCAAGCAATAAACCTGCCTTGTTATATTTCAAAGTATAAAACTAAAATACAAAGACAAACGTGACCCCTACAGTTATTGCACAGTATTTTCTGGATTATTTAATTATGTGTTTGGTCTATTAATTGTCAGAAAGTAGTGGGAGTGAAGCCAGCAATTTCCTCATCTGATTGATTTAACTTTTAGTCTACAACCGCAGGGGTGGGTAGCACTGCATTACAAGTAACACACGAGTAAAAAAAAATGTTTTTCAAGGTACTTTTCATGTTCCTTATTTAAACTGTACTTCTGCTCTTTACTCAATTTATTTTTGAGCCACTAATCCACCTTTTACATTGCCACATTTTGCATTTATACCTTCGTTACAATGACTCTGCTCTCAATGCAGGGATTGAGTGTACAGGGGGAGAGCTTTTCTATTGCAGATGCCAAGTTGCAGCTGCCTGGAAGAAAAAGAAGCACCACCTGTCTTTTGACAATGATGCAATGATGATGGCGCAAAACCCAGAACAAGAAGCAGCTTTTCTTGTGTGATTACGGATATGTTATTTTTCGTGTCTAACATTAATCTTTGGTGTTATGAGCAGCCTTATCTTGTCGCTAGGGGTCTGTTGGGCTTTTAAATTAATTAATCAATTAATCCTCATTAAAAGAGGTTAGGGTTATGAATTCATTTATTTTGCACTGGTCTGCACATAAAAAACAAACAAATAAATAAAAAACAAAATGGAAAGGATCTTGTACTTTGAGGAATTTATTAACCACATACTTTCTTACTTAAGTAGGTTTCTCAAATTCTAATTTTCACATTGGCTTGAGTCAGTTCTATAGGGGTAATTGCACTTTTACGTATAGTTTTTTAGTACTCTACCCAACACTGATAAAAATTTTAAACAGGAAAGATTACAAAGTCTCCAAGCCCATGGTCGTGTCTTTAATTGTTGCCCTAAAAACAGTCCAAAACCTGATCAATTCTTGATTTACTCATATATGAAAAGGAACAAGCAAATCCTCAGATGTGAAAAGCTGAAATCAGAGAATGCTTGGTCATTTTTGCCTGGGGAAAAAACCTCCAAAACACTTGAACGATTACCAAAATATTTGCAGATTTATTTCCTGTCATTCAAACAGTCAAAAACCCAAACACAGTCAATTAACTATCACATAAGACAAAGAAATAAAGCATAATTGAGGCTTGAAAAATGACTTAAATGGTTAAGAAATGATCAAAATAGCTGCTGAATTATATTCATTCTATCAGCTAATAGTTTCAGCTCTTTAGCAGAGACATGTAAGACAGCAGGAGTTGAGGAGTCAGGTCATATGTGAATGGAGGTGGCCTTGTGTTAACATGTGACCTGAAGAGTCAAATGCAGCTTAAACTACTGTAACTCTGAATATCCCACCATGCTATGCACATGGGTTTGTGTGTGTGTGTGTGTGTGTGTGTGTGTGTGTGTGTGTGTGTGTGACAGAGAATCAGAGAAGTATGTTGTAGTAAAAAAAGTGTCTGCCAGATGTTACAGTAAAGTTTAATCCATATGGTTCTCTAGGGACCTCTCTTTAAGACACATCTGCCTCGGCTGTGACTCTCCTCTTCTTCTCCTTTCTCCAAAACACTGCCATGGCTGTCCCTCACTTTGCTTTTCAGACTGGCCCCTTTGTGAAAGGGTGACCTCTGACTTGGGCGGCCCCTGCTGCCGTCTGTGCTCTGAACAAACACGCCAGCTGCCACGCTCAGGAAGAAAACCCGCAGCTGGACAATACTTGTGTTCCCTGCCTATGCTAGAAAGTAGTACACAGTGTACAAAGTGTGTTGATGTGTTTCTCACCTCTGTATTGGAGTAGTAGGTGTTCCAGGAGGACCTGAGAGACTCCTGCCCTCCTATATCCCACATCAGAAAGTGAGTGTTCTTCACCACTATTTCCTCCACTTTGCTGCCGATGGTGGGTGACGTGTGGACAACCTCATTCATCAGACTTGATGAAACAGAATGGTAAAGTGAGTTTTTGCTGCAGTAAAGGATGACTGACTGTACATCTGAAAATAAAACTACTTACAACTGGTAGAGGATGGTGGTTTTCCCTGCATTATCTAGTCCGACGATTATCACTTTGTGCTCTGCAAAACAAATACAGCAAATAAACTGTGTGATTAGCATGAAAAACAATCTTCAAGAGGACACTGTTATCAAGAAAACACTCAAGTGAATTCTCTTCACTGTAAGTCACTGTAAAAACATTCAGTGACAGTGAGTCATTTGGTTTCAGTCTTTACAATGCATTCATGTCATTCACTGCTGCCTATTCAAAATCATACAGGCTGAACTCATTTCAATGCTTCCTGACCTCCTCTTTTCCCATCGTCGCTGAAACTACAGGAACTTCTTTCCATTCATAAAACCAGCGAGCACAGTCTGCAACAGCAAAGGCTTTGATGGCCGTGAAGCAGACAAACATAACAGACTAAAAGCAGAATCAGAGCTGACACACACATGCCAAAATATCCCACTTTAGTGCTTTGACTTTTCCGCCCTTCAGAGGCCCCTGGCAGCCGAGGAGGAAGGAAGTCTGGTCAGAGGGCTCGAGGTTCTGACAGTCTGGGTGCATCATACTGGGTGTCCGAGGATGTTGCATGTCTAGTGCTGCTACCCTACGATGACCCTGGGAGCACAACTAAACTGAATGTGGCCGTTACCAGCATCTCCAGCACATCTAACCCAGTTTGGGTCAGATTCCATTTAAATGTTATGTTACTGAGAACTAGAGCTGCATTGATTCATCAATTAATCCATCTGACTAGAACTATTTTGATAATCTAATAGTCGTTTCGGTCATTTTATTTTAGCAAAAAAGCCAAACATTTGCTGGTGCCATGCCTCTAAAATGTGAGAATTTGATGCTTTTCTTTGTCATTCGTGATACTAAACTGAGTAGCTTTGGATTTTTGGACAGTTGGTCAGATAAAACATGACATCTGACTACGTTGCTTTGAGCTTTAGAAAATTACACAGGTTAAGTTGTCACTGTTTTCCAACATTTATTAGCAAAACAATTAATCGATAAATCGAGAAAACAATGAGCAGGTACAGCCCTACTGAGGACAGAGCAGATGTTAATATAAGCAATCACTAATTTATTCAAATGGATTACCTGAAAATAGCATTCTAAGCAGATACACTTACAGGTTACTAATCTCTGAAACATTAATGTGTTTCTCACTGCAGATTTATAAAGCAAAATCGTGACAGTTACAATCAGGAGGAAAAGCTACTTTGCATGCAAGTATCTTCCTTATTGATGTCTAGGTCTTCTACCACAGAACGGAGCACTTTTTAAAGTGCTGACACCCCAGGCTTGCTTTTCTGTAGCACACACAGTGCAGCAGAGTAGAATAAAGCCATAAAAATGACATAAAGACACATTTAAAGTGAAATTAAACAAGTGTGAGCACCAGCACTTCCTTTCTTATCAGGTGATCTAATCACTGTGTTGCTTACATTCCACTCAGACCACTCTATCACCCCTTAGATATGAATAAAACTAGACAATGGGGAGGATAGCAATAATGCTACACGGGCCAAAAAACTTAAGAAAAGCCGAATATGTATATAAATACAATCAAAGGATAATAACTAATCATTGGAGCGGAGCATAATATGACTCGGTCAGTTCTCCTGTAGCTCAGCCTGCAACGAACCCAGATCCTTTGTCACTTCAGCTCAACTCAAAAACTTTCCTACTCCTCATTACAACAAAAACAATACTCACACTCTGAAGGAAAAATGCTGCACCAACCAGTATAATGTATCTTAGTATCTTCAGAATCAGACTAAGATTTCTTAGGCTTCACTTAAAAGGAATTTGCTTTGGTTTATGCTGCATACATTAAACATGAGATAAGATATTCCTCCATTAGTCACACTGCAGGGAAATATGCAGCATATTAAGATGAATAAAATTAAGGCAAAGTACTGGTACTGCAACAATCAAGAGCATGAATATAGAATAAGACAAATATAATAAATATATGACAAAGATACTTTTAAAAAGTACTATAGCATTACAAGCTGTTTTTAGTATAAGAGAGCTGTGAGGTTTGGTGCAGGATGTGCAAACATATATCTGATAAGAGAAGATTCAATTTTCTTACAAACAAAACAGCCATATTATATACCCTGCAGCATTAAATGGGAGACATAAAGCATTTTACATCCCACATTGGAAGACATAAGGGTTTTTTGGATGATTTTCTCAGCTCTTTGTTGCCCTTTACTCGTTATTCCTCTGCCTTTGTTTCCCACTTTCTGCCTGGGATAGTGACCCTGTATGAGAGCATGTAGCTTTCTGCAGAGTTGTGGTAAAGTTATGTAATGTGTCCTGGACAGTGGAGTAAATTAAAGCTGATTGACAAGTGGATGAATACGCTCCTGCAGGCTTACTGTGACTTACTCGTGTTGATTGACAAACTGATAACCAGATTAACTATGAGAGTGGCCGACAAAGGTTGCTAACTGCACTTTAAACTGTTGTTGTGACGTGCGAGTGAAACGCAGCCAGCTCAGATGGCTGAGTCCTTAAGTCACAGTGAGATGTAGCGAGATAATTCACCCCCATCTGTTATTATGGCTCTGGCTGCTCACTTTATGCTAACGGGCTAACAGTTATTATCCTCGGTTGAGTAGCTAGCGGGACGTTAGTGAGCCGTTAACAGTTTCACCGACACCCACCTTGATTGCAGAAGAAGCTCCACAGTTTGGCGAATATGAGGCCCATTGTTTAGGTTAGTGTCCGTCCGTCTGTCCGTCAGTAGAGTGGGCAGCAGCAGCGAGCTTCTCCACTCTCAGGTCCACACCGTACAATCCGCGGCTAGCTAACATTAGCTGGATGATCTCTTGTCCGCTAAACACCTCACCGACCTTTTGAACGCGGACTCCATGCGCTCCGGCTGTAACTAACACGGTGATAAAATAGTGTCAGGTAACATAGATGTGACGACTTGTTACAGAGCGGCAGAGGTTAACGTTAAAGTAAATCGCATAAACACAGGGTGGTAAGCGCAGCACTGTCTTGACTCTGCTGCTTGTACGGCGTCTTCTGCCCGTTGGCTGCTGCTGGCAAGTGGTTTACCGAAAAAAGCAACCCAAGCTGTTCAGTTCTCTTCCGGTTGCGTGATGACGTCAGGCGTTGGCCCTTCTTTGAGAGCAGCTTTCAAAAACACTGATTTATATTATCTTGATTTATATTATCTTGTGATTATAAGTGTAATAAACTGCCTCTCAAGCTTTCTTACTTTTACAGACAAGCTCTTGCAGCTTGGATGATTGTTTGCAAACATATTTTTTCTCCACATTCACATAATATGAAACAATTAGCTTGTATTGTCTAAAAACAAGTCCATATTTAAATAAGAACTGATTGACAAGGGTGTCGTATTATCCTTGATTTAAATGTATTTAAGGTATGAATATTTTTCTGAAATGTGTTTAAAAAGTGTTAAAAAAAAAAAAGAATATCAAAGCCACCGTTTCTCATCAAAGTGCATCATTATATGGCCCTTTGGAGAAATTCTCAAAACTCTTAATTGGTGGGAAAGACCTCATAGAGTATAGAGTGTAATAAACACCATATAAAAAAATAGTTACCTCAGATCAGAGTTACTTTCTAAAATCAACTATTTTATGAAAATTAATTGTTCTGGATATCATAGCAGAGAAGGTTTGGCTTGACCCTAATAATTTTTTCCTTATTCCGAATATAATATAATATAATTATATAAGTTCACCTGAAGATATTACATAGATACTACCCCAGCAATACATTAATGCACACTTTTAAAGAAGAAAATTCTCCAAAATTTTCTTATTTTATTTCTGTAAAACAGAAATTGAACTTATTTCTCCTTATATGTCTTGTTGGCAAATATGACACTCATAAGGCTGGAGTGCTTTAGATTACACAAAATGTCTGTCTGTTTTGTGTTGAACTATGAACCATAAATATCTTCCTGACTCTGTTTCAAATGTAAGAACAAACAGCTATTATGACCTCTCAAATAATGGGGAAAATTATATGTCATAAAAACAAAAATGTATTTTATGTTGAGGTTTACGTCTCCCTTTTACAATTTAATGTTGTCTGTATTCATTTTTGTTTTTATGTTGATTTCTTTTGTTATGTTTCATATCGTTGTTTCACATATGATGTTCAAATAATATTTTTCAGTGTTATGAAATGAAATATATATGTGTCTGTACAATATACTGTTATATTTGAAATATAATCAATAAAATAAAGGGAGCAGATGCAAGAATACACATCAGTAAAATGTATAACAATTATAATTCATTATAATATAAAAGTTATAGTACTTATTGCAAATATTACTAGCTAATCTACGAGGCACAGTACAAATAAAATAAAATAAAAACATACAGAGGAACTGCATTTAGTCCTACTGTTTTAATTTAATGTAATTTTATTTTTTTTTATTGTTTTTATATTTTGTGTTTCTTATTTATTTTCTGCTTTATTTTTAATGCACAGAAATGGAAAAGTGTTCTACCGGCAACACTTTTTTATTTGTTTTTTTAAATTTTATTTTATTTTTTATTAGTGCAGTTGGACATGGTACACAAAGGTGACAGATTAGACCGATATAGATATATCAAAATATAGAAACAATAATAGTAAGCCATAACAACCAGACAAATGATTTATGATTTCTTACAGATTTTTTTTAAAGTGGGAGTATTGCATGTGTCATAACACTTTATTTTACCTCCCCTTATATAGCACTTAAGCTGTACAGCTGTAATGTAGATGTTAGCAAATATAAG